TTTTATATAATTTATTTAAGCTATTTAGGTATTTAATGGGTAACTATTAATAAAATAGGGTAGGTTTTGGGTACCTATATGGGTATAGTTTACTAACCTGCCTAACTGTAGGTACCCAGATCTATCTATGGGCGGGTATGGGTACCCATGGGTCGGGGATTTTAAGCCCTATGGACCCTTTCCATCAATCTCAAAGCTTGATCCGCCTGAAACCCTCACTTTCAGAGTATTTCCCAGTCTAGATTTGACTTTCGCTTCCACAAGAAGCCCATCTTTCCAAATGATGCTTACCTGGAAGCCCCCACGAGCAACAAGTCCAGAAACAGAACCAGTCTTCACCTGGGAGCCCAGTGCAGGCAAGATATGCACAACACCAGCTTGGCTCTGGACCAGAGTCTCTGCCACCGCAGCAACCAGACCAAAATTGCTGTCAATCTGGAACGCCTGACCAGGCTCGATATTGTGAAACAGGTTTGGGGCCGGATGGCGACCAAGCAGAGTCTGAATGTTGCCATAGGCCTCTTCACCGTTGAGCAACCGAGCATAAAGTGCTGCTGTCCAGACGCGAGACCAGCCAGTGGATGCACCACCTGCAGCGAGTCGAAGTTCGATACTCTTCTGGGCTGCATTTGCGAGGGTCTTGTTGAGAAGAGGGGACATGGCTTTGGCAGGAAAGAGGTCGACGAGGTGCGAGTAGTGGCGGTGTCCCGGCTCAGCTTCTGTATAGTCTTTGCGCCATTCTTGGATCTGACCTCGAGCGCCGATTTGGGTAGGTCGTAATCCATCTCGGTAGCCCTTCACCTTTGAAAGGACCTTGTCGGTGCTAAGGTCTATGCCAAGGATGCCTGCAGCCTCGATGACGTTGGAGAAGAATTCGCGCAGTAGAGAGTTGTCCATGGTGATGGAAATATCTAGAGACTCTTTACTCCCAGCCTTTGACCCATCCTTGGGAATGATAAAAACATTCTCGGGAGAAGTTGAAGGTCCGGAAGTCCATTGACCGTTGAATCTAAAGAGATAGCAGTCGAAGAATGACGCAATGTCTTTGAATAGTGGCCAAGCTTTCTGTCTCAAAAACGTCTTGTCACCAGTAAATCGACAGTGCTCCATCATGTGCTGAGAAAGCCAGAGGTTACTCGATGGCCAGATGGTATAAGCTGTTCCACTGTCGTGAGGAGCCGAATCACCCCAGAAGTCAAGATTATGGTGCGACACATAGCCTGGACAGCCATACATTTTGGTGGCAACTTGTGACCCTTTATCGCGGCTGCGATACATGAGGTCCCAAAGTGGCCTGAGGGTGTCCGTGAGGTCGGTTGTCTCAGCCAGCCAGTAATTCATCTCTGTGTTGATGTTGACGGTGAATTTACTTCCCCTGTTTAATAAATTAGTTAATTTCACGTCTCGCTTCACGAAACGGAAGGCAAAGGAGAACAAGCTTACCAAGGAGGGTTATACATGTCGTTCCAAATACCCTGCAAGTTTGCTGGCACTCCTAGCCCAGAACCCCCCGTGTCTCTAGAGGAAGAGACAAGCAGGTGGCGGCCAAATTGGAAACTCAGCGTAACAAACTCAGGGTCGTCATTTGGGTTACTAAAGTATGCGCTGACTCGCTTATCCGTTGGCTGATTTGAGGTGCTGTTGTTTGATCCGAGGTCAAGGTCCACGCGTTGCATTAAGTTCTGATGGTCTGAGATGGCTTCGGCTTTCAGAGACTCGAACCCACGCTTGACTGCCTTGTCTAGCTTAGCCACAAGACCAGCTTTTCAGGCAGACTCGGAACTCCACTGGAAGCTTGTTTCTACATCCAGGAAGAGATCAACCGTGGATGCTTTCGTGATGTTCAATGCAGAATCGTCTGCTTTTATGGTCCCTAAAGTGTGTATTATGGTTAGCTATTGAGGTGCGTTGTTTGATGTTTCATCGAAGCTACACAACACTTACCATCATATAAAACAACGCGAAGGCCTGCAGTGAAAGGAATCGCGTCTGCTCCCGAGCCTCCAACATCCATCGTGATGTTGTTTGCGCCTCCGATTGCGACGTTACTGATGACACCTCTGTCGCGCTGGAGGCTCACGCCGATACTGAGGGAGCTTTTTTTACTGGCAGTGAAACGTGCTGCAATAACGCCCAGAGGGAAGTTGGCTACAATCTCCCGACTATTCCTTTGTCAGCCCTAATGATCTGCTAGAAGGATAGATATTGTAACTAAATGGCACTTGCGTGTATGTAACTCCATTGACATCGTAGCTGACACCAGTATTGCCGCTCAGAGTATCAAGCCATCTTTCGTAGCTTGAGATTTCTTGGCTTGTATGCCCAAAGTCCAACAACAGGTTTCCCGTGACGCTGTACCATCTGTTCTGGGGGGGGGATTGCAAACATGTCACTTTTGGCGAACCCCGCAGCTCCCGTGTAGTTGTTTTCGGTCAACATCCTGCGAGCCTTGGGAAATCCTTCCAAGGAGCCAGGATTGACCCGGTCTTGGAAAGTACCGCTCCATACCGAGTTTTCGTTGATGATGATCTTTTCCGAGATGGAGCCTTGGACAAGTGCACCCAGTCTCCCGTTGCCGATGGGTAGAGATGAGCGGAAATCGCTTCCTGGAGTATTATACCAAAGGTGCCGTGAGCCTGAGTAGTTACCTTTCTGGGCTCCTACTGAGGTTACAAGAGCAACAAAGACGTACAAAAAGAATAAATACATTTCCAATTGCCAGTTGTAAGGAGAAGTTGTCTGGCTATATCGAACCTAGTACTAGAGAGGAAAGCCAAAGTTAAATAGTAGTTGAACAAGACTCAGTGATCCCCTTCACCCCCAACTTCCTTGGGGGTAAAACGTCAACTTGATCACAAGACTGAGTTATGTGTAGTGATCCAATTTGACTTTGGACTCTATGCAGCAAGATCTACAGAGAGCCTTGTTCTATGTCAATTAACGGCTTTACCTCACGATGCCAATAGACTTCCAATCGGGTCACGGGATAATTCCATGAGGAAACTACCCCGTGGCCCGACGCGTAGCCACACCAATGCAGCTGAAATACGAGAACATTTGAAAATAGCCGACGGTATTTTTCTTTAAATTGGAAAATAAGCAACTTTGATCAATTTATCCGTGCCATGGCTTAGCAGTGTGCATGATGATTAGACGTGGATGTGATCGACAGTGATCCTTGTTCCACGACGCCCCGATAGCTATTTCCCCGCATTCGCTCATGATGTAGTACGAGAAATAGCCGTTGGAATCGTTGACTTGGTTGAATTCTCCGAGACCTCACGCCATTGAAAGCAAGACCCGGAAAGCCATGGTAATGCAAAGTGGGGGTTGCATGAATAGATGAGGTCAACTTGACGAGACTCAGAGCTGTAATTAAACTCATGCCAACAATCACACAATTCTTTCCAGCCGAGACACATCCTTCCATACGGCTTCGAGGTTTGGGGCCTCGGGAGTCAGGTTGACTATGTAGAACATGGCTGCGCTCGATGATGTAGCAATAAGAATTCCAAGCATATTTGGATTCTTGAGAGTCCTAGCACCCAAGATGCTATTTGCATGGTGACAGCATTGGACTCTCCCCAAGCGATAGAGTCCCGTAGCTTGGGAGCGGTCTCGAGTAAATAGGGGGGAACATGTGAAGGACACCTTGCCGTCCGTATCGAACAAGACTTGTGTCAACTCATCACAAGTTGAGCCAAGCTCTGTGTCGATCCACAGAGTTCTCCAACGGCGCTGTTCAAATATTAAGGAATAGTGGAAGGAATGCGAAACCTTCCAACCCAGGACTTAGCGAAAGTCCTCTGGACTCAATTCAATTACCGGAGCTGTCTTGCCAAAGAACCTTTCAGCAACAATAACTCTAGTGTAAGATGTATTTTCGTCGCTTGAAAAGCAGGGCTTTAGGCTCTGGGGACAACTGCGGCTTGTAAGGTTAAGCGTTAGGCTGCGAACACAGACAATGAATGACAAGTGAGTATCAGAACTGTACAGTAGATTTCATGTACCAACACATCATCGACAAGGGTCACCAATGCGTTGCCTAGAAACTTGCTAAGCTGCTCAGTTCGGACCCTCTCTTTCCGGGCTCGGTATGCTCTGGAAAGCGAAAGCCGCATCGAATGGTCTCTTACCACCATCTTAGATTTGGAAACGATAGAGGATCCAAGTCTTCCTATATTAGCCCTTGACCGTACGGGCTAGGGTGAAGGATTGGCCGATGATCCAGACTACTTAAGAAACTTTCCAAACAACATAACAGGCAAGGTTATCAACTATAATCCTAGAACCCTTCTTATGGTAAGGATTGGTGGTAAGCTATTGTGAAGAATTCGCTAATATGAGTAGATTGAGATTTACTATTCGACACATAATCTTCGTTATTGAGATTCCCGATCTCTGTATTGGTGGCTTTTTATTGCAACACGCATTAACCCTACTTCAATCGCCTGACCAAATTCCCAAGAAACAGCGGTCCCAACGCGGCGTAGTTTCACACTCTTTGGGGATAGCCTCTATCATCCTGAGAGCCCAAGTTGTGCAACTCTCTGGTACAGTCAGAAGCAGAATCGTCGCTGGTTGAGTTTGACAAAGCTCTAGAATTTAGGGCAGATATAAAAAGGCCCACGATATATCCTCTGAAACCATTTACTAGATCTCGTAAAATTTATTAAGTTTAGTCCAGAGCTAATGCAAGCTTCGCTCCAGTGACCACGTTTTTGTGACGTTAAAACTTGCTTAGAGGCGTCGAGAGGCGCTGAACCATGATGTCTTGCCTTTTGGCACAAGTCGCTAGCAGCGGGACCTCCCGTAATCAGTACATTTACTGTAGTTAAGGGTGTTTATATTTCGAGGCAGATTACTCCGTATTGCGACTCAGTTTGTGAACCAAAAGGGCACTGAGGAGCCTCACTCCCCTTGATCTTGCTGGACTCCGGGGAGATCCCCCGGCGTACGCAGACCAGTTGACTTTTTCAGTGACTTTGCAAATCAACATCGTACCACTTTTTAATGTGTTGGTTGTTATGAAGTGCTGTCCCTGAGCGCGTTGGCAGAAGAGAAATGTGGGCCTTGCTGAGCATAGTACATAATACTTATCTGAATCAATCGATCTTGACGTGATAGATTGTTAGTAGCCGGGTATCTCATATTCCCCGTGTCCAACTCTTTGCAGGGAAAAATGCAGGGGTCAGCGCTGTCGTTGGCTTTAATCTCGTAGCGTCTCGATAGTGTCCAACTAGTTTCAGTAAAAACACCAAGTCAGGTCTAGCTCTTCAATAGTCTTTCAGCTGCCCCTGACTAGAGCCTTTCGCTGCGGCCGACGACATCTAAAAAAGAAAAGCTCGGCTACAATATGCGTGATAAAGCCGATGAGTAGTGCGGCCTGCTTTCCTGTATTTATCTCCACGTTCTCCTCAGTTTTAACTCTAGACTTTTGGCATTAATTATTTTCTCTTGATGTAAACTTGGGACATATACACTCTTTTAATCTCGAGTATCAACACCGGTCATTACACTCGATATGATGCGCAACACTCTCGTTCTTGCTGCACTCGCAGTCACTGCCATTGCTGGACCTTGCAAGCCTACTAGCTCTTCCACCGAGCTTCTGTTGACCACGATCGGGTCGATCGAGTCGTCCTCTATCGAGACTTCCGTCGCCGAAGCAACATCCTCTGCAGCCGTCACTGAGAGCACAGACGTAGTCACTTCCACCGTCAGCTCGGATGCGACCACGACCTCAGGCTCCGAGTCAACAACAACAGCTCCTCCAGATGATAGCTGTGCAGAAAGCCTTTACGATATGAATGGCGAGCCTGAGTTCACAGATCGGATTGCGGACTGCCAGGACTTGAATGTCGTCACAGTCAGCTCCTACCAAGTGTAGGTAACATCCACATTAACTAGTAGAAAACCAGCTGACGATCTTCCAGGACTATGACAGTGAAGAAGCGCGGCAACGTTATAATCATCCCTACGAATCCGATTGTCCGTCGTGCCGAGGGCGAGGAGGCAACGACCATCTTTCCGACTGGTGTTCCAGCTTACGCTACATACTGCGATAGCCCTTCAGCGTACTACGAGGCTTGCTCTCAGTTTGGCGTTACTGCGTTCACAACTACAATTCCGGAGCCCACGACGACTGAAACTATTACTGAGTAAGGCATAACGTCTTGGCTTTATGTTGTATAGTAATAACCTTTATTTCAGAGCATGATATCATCTTTGTTTAATTTATTATTCTCGCTAAGCGGTAGGAAGGTTACTCTAACCTGGGTTACACTTTTACTAGTACATATTCCTCTATCACTTTTATTTCACTCTTAGTACTAGGCCAAAAAGGACAAGGACTTTTCCAACCCAAGTATATCAAATTCACAGTTGTCTTTTAGGTAGATTAGTAATTGAGGACAGTACGTGCTAAAAGTGTAGAGATAAAGATACATAGCCAGGGTCATGCTTTTCAAGACTCGAGTATCACTTCCTGAATGCACCATTTCCCTGTTACATCTGCACTGTTCTAAACGAGTTGTGTCCCAGCGTTGGCGGCCGCTTCAAGGCAATCCCAGTGAAGTTGCTTGCCGTCAGCTGTTCAGTCTAATAAAACACATCCACAATACCCCTCACGCCAAGCCAGCTTCTCACAACCAACACCATATTTTCTTTCACACCGTTACTTGGCCTTATTTCAAGTTTAGCCTATATCGATGTGTTCGGTCCACCCGCCTACTGACTTTATTCTGACGGCAATGTGCCAGCCAATTGCTCCCTAACAATCCACCCACCCGACTAACGTGACATTCGTCGCGGTCTCGACTCTCTGCCAAGCGCGTCTTCTGCACCATGCACTAAGAGACAGGGCTCAAATTGAAACTCTTCCCCAGCAGACAGGGGCCAACCAACAAGAAAAATCCATTACCTGCCATTTACGGGTGTACTAACCTTGAGCTCTTTTCTGCTGTAGGATGAATGCTTGGTCACGAGATATGCATTCTGCCTCGCTTATTACCCTCTATGTTTTCCTTTTTAAAAACAAGGACTTTACCTCATCTCTCTTGAAGAAATGTTCAATATCGTGCGAATTAACCAAATCTGCAGCAAGTTTACTTACGGCCTGTCCTGTTCTCGATATCTCGGTCCCGCAATACACAATGCGTTACGCCCCCCTGCTCTCCATTCTTAGCTGCGCCTTCTTGCATGCCAGCCACGCATTCGAGTTTACTGGTCCTGACTCTTCGGAAAAACTTGATCTCACTAAGCCTATAACAATCACGTGGGATGCCAACAACGGACCATTCGTGGAACCAAAGGCACGCGCACTCGATCTCTGGTTCTCTGTCCGTACCAGTGATGATAGCGGTGGGCTCAGCTGGGAATTTGCAACCAACCTTTCGCTCTCGTCGGGCTCGTATAAATGGAAACCAGATGGGGTCGTCAAAAGCATAAACGATACAGGCGCCTCGATCTCTCCGGCCGTGGTGCATAGCTTTGAGGCTAGGTTAATGAACAATTCTGGGAGTCAATTGTCGGCAGTCGAGAGCGATAAGTACGCCGTTGAAGGCTTTGACTTTATCCGAAATAGTGCTAGAAAGGGAGCACAGGCCGGGTTCTATACAGCTGCTGTAGCTCTTAGTATCGCAGGATTGGTGCTTCTGTGATAGGAACTGGCCTGAGTACGGGAGCTAGTCAAACGAGAGAGCATATTTCAAGCAGATGTTTTCTTTTTTAATAGATATGGCCATGCAGGGTTTGGTTCAGGATACAAGATAAAACAGTCACAAAACTATAAGCAGGTACAAGAGGTATCAAAGGGTTGACGTCCACTGAAACAAATACTTATTTCTCATTAAGATACTATGAGCTCAAACTACTAATCAACAGTTGCTATCAATGAAAACTCCAGCCCAGTCTCAATCAACCCCACTGCAACTAGAACTAAAATAGGGACCTCTCTGGTAGTTTCATCCGGATCATTGACAGCTTCGCAATATGCAACCTTACTTGCCTCTCCTAGTATCGTGCCAACCTCGGACAGAATAGCTGCGGTCCGATTGGAACTAACAGATTCATGACTCAGCTCATAAAGATGACCCGCACTGACGAACAGCCCCCAGTACCCAATAACAACGTCGACCAAAGCTCCCATACCGCGTCTATCAAGAGCAGGAAAGCCTGTGTCGCCGCCATCAGGCTCTTTCATAAACTTCTTGAGAACACAGCTGGCCACAACCTTGACAGCAATGTTTCTAAAATACATAGCCTTAAGAACATCGTTCAATATGGGATCTTGCGGAACAGCGACTCCAGCAACAAATGAGCAAGCGATATGCAAATAGCCCAGAATCGACATAGGCTTACTGAATTGGTTTCGCTTGCTGTCTGAAGAACCATCGGCCTCAATCGGAATGACAAATATATTCAGGACATCAACGATACCTCCGACGCTATGCATGCAGATGTAAATATCCTTCTTGGTGGAAGCACTGATTTCTTTCGGCGCTGACCAGATGTATGAAGCGGCGCGCGACATGTAGGAAATCTCTTCTTGGGGAGGCGGTTGACCCAGAATGGTTTGGAGTGTATTCCAGCTATCGGCATTGATGAGTGCATTCACGTCGTCGTTGTCGGGGAACGGGGCGCTGTCGTGGGCGATCTTATACACGACTGTATATGCAACAGCGGCTATCCAGCAGAAGAGATCCAACAGGGAAGGCTCGCTTATACCGAGATCACTGAGGATATCTGAAATGATTGGGATGTGGAACTTTGCGTCGAGAAGATGCATGGCGGAACTGGCGACACTTGCCAGAAGATCTAGAATAGCATCCCCAACGTTGCCAACAGTAGAGATAAAGACATCGGCAATGATTGCGAGAAGCTGTTTGAGGGAGTCTTGCAGAGGTTGAGACGAGACGTTGTGAGCAAGCGTCTTCAAGTTGTTGTATGCTGCTGACAGCGTCTTGCCTTCATTCTCTAGAGCAGTTAAAAGATTGTCGACAAGCTCTTCTACCCCGCTATCCGTTGTGTCGTCTTCAGCAACAGTCAGAGAGGAGGCGTTGTTCTTGTAGTGGGTAGCGAGCATTTGCGAGCCGGATGTCTGACCTGCTGATGGGTTGTGACAGTTTGCTGACAAAGGGCTGGGTCGTAGCCTGGCCAATCGTGTCCGCCCAGCTTGTATCACCGGCCCATTTGTTGATCATGGACACAAGACCATTCATCTCCCGGTCAAAGAATGGCTTTACGTATGCAATCTTATCAATCTGGCCCTGCATAAACTGCTTTGCGATATTGGCGATGACGTTCTTGGTGCGGGTGATATCGTCCCAATCCAAGAGAAGCTCCAAGAAACGGATCACATCCTGGATCACCGTCTTGATGGCATTAAAAACCCACTCGACAGCACCGACAACTGCATCAACTGTACTGAGTACGGCATGGTAGACCTTGCCTGCGATAGTGGTTACGAAATGCCACACTCGCTTGCTGCCTCTTTGACAACGTGAACGATAGCCTCGCCTGCTGATTTTATGGCGTGGAAAATGTCTCCAGGAAGAGCCTCGATCGCATGACCAACATCTTCGAAGGTGTCGCAAACAGATCCAAAAAAACCTGAACTTGTGTGATGCTCTGGGATTGGTTTGGGAGGGACTGGCTTGGGAGCGACCTTTAGAGGTGCATTTGGGTTTTTGATGGCTCCATAGACGGTGTTGAGGTTGCCCAAGGTAGTTGCAGCACTTTGCGTGTCATTTGATGAAGTAGATGGATCGACAAGAGGGGCTGTGACTGAGGGGCCAGTTGTACCTCCTGCGACGACATTTTTGGGGATCTTGGCTGCGCTCAAGGCTGTGGGTGTGTTGAGTGAAGTAATCTTTTGAAAATGCTTATGTGATGGATCTATGACTGTTGGATGGCCGCCACAGGTAACAGTGATGGACGTCCCGTTGAGGGTGTTATGCGTGTTCTCAACTATTGTCAAAGTACCTGTCCTGTCCGAGGAGACAGTGATAGGAGTTGAGCTCAGGACGTAGTACAAGCCATTGATGTAAACTGGGGTCCGACAAGGTGCTGTGACAGAGACAGAGACATCGCCAGCTGGCATCTTCTTATTGTCTGCAAATTGGATGGTGGTAGTGTATGAGTTGAAGGCGATTGCCTTGGTTTGTGGCGGTGCCTCAATAACAAGAGACTCCTGACGCCAAAGCTTAGCAGTTGTCTCTGTTGCCTGCACTAGTCGCCAAAGGGAGGTTCCTCCAGAGGCAAAGATGGTGTTGCTGTACCCGGTACGATTGACAAAGGCCGACATGTTCTCTATACCGTTCATCAGCGGGAGAGGTGTGCTCCACGATGCCGCAATATCAAGTTGTGTATTGGAACAAGAGCTGTAGTAAATCTGATCACTACCATTCTTGCCCCAAATAGTTGTTACACCGCCGTGCGTCATAGCTAATAGCTCAGTCGTTCCTTGGAATATGCTGTTGCTCAAGATTGTTGTAGCAACTGACTGTCCTGCCTGGCTGTTTGCAGGGAACCAGAACAGAGTCTGACCGCCAATGGCATACAAGTCTGTCGAGTTATTGTATGCCCTTGCAGTTGCTATTGCCGATGCTGTGACATTGCCCGGGAGGCTGAGGATGCGCGGTGCAGGGGGCCCGGAACCAAAGGCATTGCTGATTGGGACATAGACAAGTTGGCCTGAGGTTCCAGATACACCACAGGTAAAGACTCCGTCAACGAGTTCGTTTTGGAATCGGCCAACGCAGCTTTGATAGTTGCCGTCTTGGATATCTACCGGAACATCGTGCGGGGTCCAGTGTTTGTCTGTTGCTAGTGGGTTGACGTAGAATCGAGAGATCTGCTTGATTGCGTCAGATGTTGAGCGGTCGATGTCAACAATAATGTGCTGCTTGTGAGTGGCATCTGACTCGGCAAACATGACGCCTGTTATGGCTATCGCAGCGCCAGAAGCTGATTCAGCGTCGAACGGAATTGATTTCCAGGACAGATTTGGCGCCGGAGTCCACGCAGGCGTCGAGTTGTGATTGTACAGAGATAATAGCAGATGGTCTGTACCTCCAGAAGTAACAACCATAGCCAGGCCAATAGTACCATCTACAGCACTTTGATTGACGTCGAATGTTTTGACAACTGCACTCTTGTCGCTGGCAAAGACGGAACTGAGGGCGTTAGATGAGAGATCAACTATTCGCCACCCCGTTGAGCTGGCTCCGCTGTGCTCGACAATAGCCTGGAACACATTTGCAGAGCTTAGACTGAACAGAATCGAGTGGCCATCTTGTGTCTGCAAGGCCTCGAACTTGCCACAAGGATTGACAATCTCGCCAGGGACGTAGCTCTGCATCATCTCCGTTGTAAATGTCAGGGAAGTTGGTGGCGTAGTCGCAGCTGGGGCGAGTACAGCGGCTGGAGTAGATTTGGCATCATCCTCTGCTTTCGCCGCCGGGATCTGCAAAGTGGGTCAGCATGTGCTACTCTCAACGTTCACAAATCAAGGTATTCTGGACATACCTTGAGCATTGCTGGAGAAGTGATGGCTTCGTCGGGGTCCACATAAGTCAGGCTGCAGAGGAGGTCGCCACTTGGTGCTGCTTTGACATTCTTATAAGTAAAGACCTTTCCTCCTGGAAGGACAAAGTTTTGCAATGCTGCAGCATTGATGGAAGTAAAGTCGATGGGTTTTGGGGCTGTAAAAGCGCTTCTGATCTTGTCCAACAAATCGTCAGTCTGCAATAAATCGCTTGTCTTCCTGAATTTATCAGGAAAGGTATCCGGGGAGCTTCTGGTGTGAGTGATTTGAAGACAGCCTGTCTGTCCAACTGATAACTCATAGTCATCTATAGCGACCGCGGTATATGCCATACACTGTTCATCAAAATTGGAGAATCGGTCCGAGAGAATGGCAGCAACGTCGCATTTAAGCTTGACACCGACAGCAACTCGTTGGAAAATATTCAAAGTGTTGCCGGTAAGCAACACCTCGCATTCATAGCCAGGCACGACGTCCAAGCGGCAATAGTCTGAGTCGTATATCGAGCCTCGTGTTGAGCTTGTGTCTGGATCGTCGCTGGCAGAATATTTGATAACGCATACATTGTTACTCCCGCGGCGGATCAGAGAGTTGGGGGTCTGGTTGTTGATCGTGGATAGAGACCAGTCTGCCCATAGTTTGCCGCTTCCCCACTCCTTTCGATGTCCCACGACGGTGTCTGTGGTGATAAAGTATTTCTTGATCTGAGGAAGGATTGCATCAAGTAAATACTGACCAAAAACTTCTCTCTTGATGGCGACAACGCCGCTTTCGAAATTGATGCTGGTTGGTTCGACCCAGGTCCACGAGAATTGCTTGGCAGGCGGTAGGTCTATACCATGAGTGGTGCAGCGGTAATCGAGAGTGGATGCATCAAGCTGCTCCTTGGTAGGATTCTCGACCGCATCACCGTTGCTGTCCTTGACGCGGTTGACTCGAAGGTCAAAGGCTTTCAAATGAAGCTTGGAAGTGTCTGACGACGCTTGAGGGACGGCGACAATGGAAATTGGAGGGCAGTGACACTTCTTGGCGAATGCTTTCCAGATGTTCCCGAATTGGCCAGAAGCAACAAGGCCAGCTCGACTACCTGGCTTCATGCCCTCAATGACAGGGACATCGTGAATTGTCGCATTATCCATGTCTAGCAACAGCTGTTGCAGACTGAAGGGTGTGCTTGATAAGTTCTGGAGCTTTTGAAGGAGTCATTTCTTCTTGGCAGGATTCTGAGAGAAGTGGATTGAACCATTCAGCTGATTGTCGAGACTCGCATGAAAAAGGTTGACAAATGTTTGGAGAATCCATGGATGACCCGGCTGCTGCTTCCAGACGCTCCATTTACCACTAGGGCTGGCGGAATTCACCAACTCATTCTCAACAACATGAAAGTCGGAGAATAGGATCTTGAACCTTGCGAACTGGGGATTATCGACAAGCTCTAGAATAGGGGGGAGATCCTTGGGCTCTACACCTGGAGGAAGCCCCATGCGGACCTTGACACCGACGGCGAATCCCACCTTGGTTAGCGCCTGAACCCGAGGGTCTGTATGCGGGGTATCCCATGGGATCTTGAAGGGATCAACCCCGCCTGTTTTGGCAACAAGGTCTTCCAAGGTGACTGGGACCACTTCATTCGCATTTGAGGGATTCTAGACCAGATTAGATGGCTTCACAGCCAGCAGCATACCCTCCAGGGATATCTGATTGCGAGACTGAGTAACTTACCGAGAGGAAGCAAAAATAGTTACAAGGTAAAGTGTTGTTGTGCAAGTACATGCACAGATCCGAGTTTATACTAGCTTGAGTAGTCGAAATGACAAAGTCGTAGCCATACTTGGGGTTAGACAAGTTGCAACCAGGTCCCTGGTAAAGCGGGGATCCGTCAACGATCTCCATGGCGTGGGCAGGAGTAAATAATTCAGACAGAAAAATGCCGTATAATAGTTGGGATTTGTGTTTTGGACATACGATGTGCTGACACAATTAGTGGAAAGCCAAGAGATTTTATTCAAGAGCTACAACGGAAAGTCAATGTTGTAAAAGTCAAGCTGAAAGCTGAAAGTCTTATCATCAGACCACATTCTGAGACAAATATACGCCACGAGTCTAGATTCCCCTAGCTTTACCTATAGAGCTCAGTGTAAGAGGACACATTAACATTATGGCTACAAGCTAAGTGCTGTAACCGAAATCTATGGCGCTGACTATTAATATGCTGGAGACAAAAGTGACGAATTATGACAAAGCACTCTAGCTTCTTTAGTATAGTGTCGCTTGCCATTTTGTTTTACTGGTAGGAATTTTGGGCACTATTCCATTTAGGTCTCGGCGGATTTTCCTACCATTTTGGAAGGAGACTGGACTTTTACTTTGCAGAAGTGGGTGGAGATAACTCTACGCTGCATCTTCACATGTGGCATTGAACGGTATTAGTGGTTCTACTGCCATTAACGACAGTATTGGAACAAGAGTCTTCTGATAGTGCATGGACAGAGGGGTGCTATCTTGAGTTTTACAGTAAACTAGACTGATATCTGTTAGTGTAGCAAGTCTGATGCGTGAGAATCACAGCCTTCTCAGATAGCGGGTGATAGTTATTCTGGGCTTTGGTGTTTATCTTAAAACACTAAGACCCACCATAGAATTAATCCCTCATCCCCTTTCGAATACCCTCACACATGCCTGTGATTCAATATCAAAGTCAGAGTGTCTTGTAATCTAATTGCTCTGGCTATCTGCAGTAATACTGCAGGGACTTAAAATAGGTAAAGGAGCTAAAAACTAACTAAGAAATAATAATAGAAGTTATATACATACTGATACATTTCTTACGTTTTATTACACGTATTGCACTGGTATCGGGTAGGCTCATCCTGGTTTGACATAAACTCCGGACGGCATTAACACGGAATATCTGGGAAGCGAATTTGTCATCAATGCTGACTTAATTTCATTGGTACTTGGATTTACAATCAGCCCCAGCAGCCACAGTGGCTAGTGTTAGTGCCGAGAACTGACAAATGACGTCTTACTCAGCTAGGAAAAGTGTTTGGAACCTTCTCGATGCTTCGGGCAAGATCATGGCATTTCGATATGGTGAGTAACAGCTTGCGCAAGAACGCACTGCCTAAATCTTAATTGCAGAATATCGATGTATAAATGAATCACTTCCGGCGTCCTTAGTGATTGTTTTCATCATCAGAATTCAATCTCTTCACTGCTCAATCAATTCAACCAAAGCCCAGAAACACAAATCGCCTCTGCTCAGCCAATCAAAAGCCTGAACCATCATATCAATCACCCTTCACAACTCACAACCAAAACACATCAACACAATGGCATTCTTCCTTCCCCAGACCTTCTACCACATCCAGGCTCCCCAGAACCCACTCTATCATCTCCTTCGGGAGCTTGATCAGTCCATTCAGCAGCCCCAGCGAAAGCGCCAGTGCCAGCCTCAACAGAATACCCGCGCTCAGGCTTCCTGCCCTGCTTTTCGGGTGAACTCCCGCCCATGGGAGCCCCGCTTCGAGGCCCACGAGACTGAGGACTCCTTCGTTCTTTATGGCGAGCTCCCCGGCATGAACAAGGAGCACGTCACTGTCGAGTTCCCTGAGCCTCGCAAGCTTGTCGTTAGTGGCAAGGTTGAGCGTTTCACAGAGGAGCCCAAGGCGGCTGAAACAACCACCGAGCAGACTACTCCCGCCCCAGTCACCGATTCAGATAACGAAGACACCCGAAGCAGAAGCTCTTACCAGGCCACTGTCGAGGATGATGTCGATGACGACGAGTTTGAGGTCTTGAGTCACGCATCAGAGAAGTCTAAGACTGTCGGCCAGCCGGAGCCTGAGACTCTCAGCGAGAAGGCACAGGAGAAGCAGCCCGAGAAGCCTGAAGAGCCAAGACGCTCTGGCTATAGCAAGGAGTTCTCGCGCTATTTCACTTTCCCCACCTATATCAACCACGACGCGGTCACTGCCGACCTTAAGGATGGTCTTTTGACAATAGTTATTCCCAAGGCTACTCCCAAGCCCCAGCGCATCATCATCAATTAAATGGTAAACTGTCAGTTCATGGGTTTCATGGGATGGTTGTGATATAGATACATTAAGAATATTTCATTGGTTCTGGTCTGGTAACTAGCTAATTAATTTACCTATTATTTTATTACTGATTGCCCGCTTAAATCTCAATTTAGTGAATAATTTAGCAGACTTTCGGTAACGCCACTATCTAAAGACCTTAATGGGTATTCTGGGGAGAGTCCAATGTAATAGCAATTGTAGATAGGTATAATGATGCTTGCTACCTGGATGACGCGGCACGCGCATAGGGTTGATGGCAAAACTATATTCAGTATAAATTATTACTAGCTCTGGCGAATTATAGTATAAGCTAAGACTCTTAAGCTTTTAGAGCTAACTTGGTCATAATATGACAATAGTATCTGCATGTATTGCAAGGCCTGTTATATTAATAGAGTTATGAAGGCACCAATAGGGTCAGATACTGTTGAGATGTTGGTGCCTGAGGCCCCTCACACATATGCCTGTCGCCTACCCACTTGGGCCCTTAGCTAGCTTCCTCATACACACAGACCTTGGACCCAATCCCCGTAACAGATACCTTCTATAAAGTCACATTTAGTCAATAATAAAGAGAGAACTTAATAGTTACTCTTTTTCTTACAATTAACACCGGAAATTACTATATACGCTACCTAATCGTGTAACCGCTTGTTCATTGCTGAGTCGGTGTGATAAAAACAGTTACGCCGGCCGTGGGGGTCGGTCGCCCTTCTACTATGATCATTCTTAGCGGGCTATTCAGATAATATTTTAACTACAAAGCAACTGCACGAATACAAATAATTCTGAGTTTCTCACTACAATCTCCAGACCTACCTTTGTTGCCATAACCAATTCTCAAACTCATCCCCCATCAATTCTCGAGGGACCTGTCCCTTCTTCGTTTTCCAGCGCATGGAATGAACCCCAAAGCTTGAGTGAATCTTTGGATCTTCTGCGAATCGCTGCATCCTTTTTGTGTCCACACTATCCTCCCCTTCGCAGATAAGTCTAATTTGATATGCTCGGTCCGCAAATACTGCTCCTCGTGCCCAGTCTCCGTGCACAATGGCAATCTGAAATGCGTCATAATTGGCTCGGGCTCCCAAAATACTGGTGTCTTCTTCAAACTCTTCCTTCAAAACCTGGAGTAGGGAACGGCAATCCAAAAGACTAGCACTGGGGCTGCTCATCATGCGGACTGGATCACCGATATCCTGATCTAGTTGTTGGATTTGCTTCCGCCGTTTGTCAGACTTCTCAAGTTCAACGCGCGGAAGACGGCAGACGACGCAGTCGCAGCAGAAGCCGAACTTCTCTTTCAACCACGGCTTTCGATGTGAAGATGGACCTCCATGATCGTAGGATATTGTAATTTCTTCTCCAGGTTTAATATCTCGAATGGCATGAATCGTTTCCTGCTCAAGAGCTTCGTTCCAGCTATTGTGAGCATTTGCACGACAACTATGATTGATGAAGCAGATGGTAGGGTATACGGCACCGACGGTCGCTCCACTCCCGCAAGGTAACGCGTTGGTTCTCATGATGCCACTGAAGGGATACTTTCCAGGAAAGTTATTGTGCAATGATAGAAATTGACGCTGTTTTGCCTTCGGAAGGGACTTTAAATCTCTTGCTATGATAGGCTCGAGGGAGGCTGGTGGTGCATTGCGCGTTTGAAGGATCGGTTTCTCGATGAGAACACGCGTGCCCATGGTGATCTTTCGTAGGGCTATGAGGCCTTTTCCTCTGCCTGGTATCGACTGAACCTCACATAAGGATGATCTGATTTGTTCAGAAGAGGCCAAATTAGCAGAAGGACTCGCACTCGTCTCAGGCGCGGCCCATCCGTCGACCTGAGAAGTGATAAGTCAGTTTCAGATTGTTTTAGAATAAGCACATAGGGATGGCACCTTATCGTAGGATTTAATTGAAGCATGGACTTCGTCCCACTTGTAATAGCCGTAGTGATCGAATGCTTCAGACCAATAACGGACTCGTGAACCAAAGATTGACTTTGCGATCTGGGTGACAGCTCGGATGATGTCCCATACTCCTGTGGTGGTAGCGGTACTACCAGAGACTTTAGAGCTGAACCGCATGAACTTGAAACCTTCAAAAGGAAGTATCGGTCCTTCGCCCGCATTAAAGAATATATAGTTTGAATTGATTTCCATTCTTTTATCGGTCTTATATCGCTCTTTGACCATGTTAATAAGAAGATTCCAAGCCTTGTAGTCAGTGTCTGTCCGTGACAGTTGGGGAACCATGTCAAAACCAGCATCAATGCCCATTTTGCGTTGTAGATCGGGATTTTTGGGGAAGAGAAATGACGGGTGCGGACTTGGACTGTTTGGACTTCTTGGGCGCTTTAAACCCTGTCCCAGCCAGAACTTGTTCAGAAGCAAGCACATACGGCGGGGGAGCCGGAACAGATGGCAGTGTGCGATTGGAAGACCTCTTACTGTGGCGGCCAATAATTTAATTGAATTTATCTTCTACCATCATCGAGATGATAGTGTCTTGGGGGTAGGAAGGCCTCCCACATAAGCAGCTTACTTGACCCCTCATCTTGCCTAGGTCATTATTTGAACTGTTTGTAAACGCGAACTTGAGTCTCGAGAAAGCGACGGGGCAGCTTCGATAGGGCCTGGTAAACTTTGTTCTTCTATTCTGGATCGTCGTTTAGCAACGGACCAGTAGGACTAAAGGTAGTAACGATGCGTCAAATATGATCTGACCGGATGATCGAAATAAGGGAACCTGCGATTTCGTCACTCTCAGTGCAGGGTTCGTTTCCACCTATGAGAGAACACTGGGACTCATTAATCTTATGACGTGGCAATCGGTGACATGGCCAAAGCCAGCGTTGGTAGGCCTCCTGCATGCCTGGCTGACTCTGATAGGACGTTGATATGCTGTGGCGCTTTGTCAATTCGTCCATGGCCTGGTGGTAAGGAACACAAGAATATGAGGACACCTGCATCCGCCAAATCAGACTTTTCTCAGAAACCTGATCCTACAGCTTCCAACATGGGGAACATTTTTGGACGTGAGCGTGAGACAGAGACAAGCCCGCCACCTCGTGAGCTACCTCCCATATTGGCGGCAACAAGACAGCCATTATACTATGGAAGAGCTCTTCCTTATGAGGACACGTTCCAAAATCGGGGGGTACCACAGATTCAGCACTCTCGTCCTTGCTTATTTTATGCTCGCGGAACATGTTTCCGGGGAACGGCCTGTCGATTCTCGCACGAAGGGGCTATAAATATATCTTCGACAGAGAACTTTCGAAAATCTTGCCGCTTTTTCATGCGTGGTCATTGCAGGCGTGGAGAGGCCTGTAACTTCTCCCATGAAAAATCCTCTGTGCAGGAATCGACAGAGGCAATAAAGGTATGTATTTGGCCGCTAGTCAATCCGAAATCTAAGGGAAAATTGGCTGATACGAAACAGGATGATGGCTGTACCGAATATTGGGCTCGTGAGCTTGCAGGCGCCTGGGCCAAGTTCGGAGACGGAGCGGCAATCGTGGATGTCTCACTCCCTTCAGACTTTTCCGCCATCCAAATACGCAATCTTCCGATCAGTGCCTCGGCAAACTCAGTTAGAGCCTTACTTTCTGAAGTTGGTATCCCCGTATTAATGAGCGATATACAATATATAAAACCCAAAGATATGCCAAATGGCTTTGCAATCGTCAAAGTCAAAGACCCGACATTTGCAAAGACCGCATGTTCGCGACTGCAGACCTGCATTGAACTCCCAGACTTAGTAGTCAACTCGATACGTGTTCCAATCGCTCCAGGATTCCAATTTGGCCAGGTTGATAGCAGACAAGTTCGTTGTTCATGGCATCGACCCACCAGAACATCCTGTCTATACCTTCCAAACAAGAAAGTTGCAAGCAGATCATTCTACAAGTTCAAAAGCGGAGAGTACAAAATCAACGGCATGAAAGTCACGGTGCAGTCGCTTGTTGCAGAGTATCCGGTTCAACAGAACGGGAGATGGAAGTTCGATTTAGTTGGACTGAGTGCTAGCATCACGGAGGACGACATCGCTGCCGTCTTTCCTTCCTGTGAAAGGCCTTGTCTGATTGCTATCGGTGATCTGAGTTACGAGATGGACATAGAAATGGATTCGACCTTGGTCAAGTCATTGCTATACGAGAAGGGCGAATTGGAAAAATGGAACGTTTCTGACGGTTCTACCACCAAACGGGTCAAAGCGCAAGCAACCTTTGTTGAAGAAGGCCATGCGCAAGCCGCCGCCTCTTCCCTGCATGGAACAGAGTTACCATTCAACCGCACCGGGAAGCTTTTCGTCCAACTCATTACTTCCGTCAAATTCAAGGTATCAGCCCGCGTTTACGATGCCGTGGAGAAGACAATTGATGCACACAAATCCAATTGGAATCGGCAGTTCATACGTTATTCCGCACTACCTGTGCGCGGATCTAACCGAATCCTGAAGATCGAGGGTGATGATCGTCAGCTAGTCGCCCAGGCCAAAAGAGATTTGGAAAAAGTCATTACTGGCACTGTAATGACGATGGACGGAAAGAATATTTGGTACTCTAACCTCAAGATCAACAAGAATGCTTATAGGAAGCTTCAGAAAATCGAGCGAGACCTTGAGGTCGTTATCATTCGCGATATAAGAGCCTCAAACTTCCGGGCTTTTGGCCCTGAGGATCGGTTTGCACAAGCTGCTGAAGCCCTGCAGCAACTCATCGACGAGTTAAAAGCAGGCGACCATGCCATCAAGAAAGCAGTTTCTCCAGTCAAAACACAACGACTTGAGACAGATTGCCCGGTCTGCTTTGACGAAGCCGAAGAATCACTAGAAATATCCTGTGGCCATATCTACTGTAGTCTTTGTTTTTTCAACATGTGTCAAGCAGAAGCCTCAACGTCGGGTGATTTCTCAATCAGTTGTGTGGGGAACTCTGGAAAATGCAGAAAGATCCTTCAAATCTCAGAGATCCAGACACTCCTTCTCTCTGAAACATTCGAGAACATCCTTGAGGCCTCTTTTGCTTCATTCATACGACGTCACCCAGCTGAATTTCGGTATTGCCCGACGCCGGATTGCGACCAAGTCTACCGAGTCTCTTCCCCCGGAAAGGTTCCGTGCATGTTTACATGTGCCGGATGCTTTACGCCTACTTGTACGGCCTGTCATGTTTCACACCCGGGAATATCTTGTTCAAAGAACAGAGGCAATAGTTTTGATGATATCGAGGAGCTCATTAAAGCTAAGGAGGAAATGGGTGCAAAAGATTGTCCCAAATGCACTACAGCTATCCAGAAAGCTGAGGGATGTAACCATATGACTTGTAAAGTTTGTCAAACGCATATCTGCTGGGTGTGTATGGCAACATTCGTACAGAGCAGCGATTGCTACGAGCACATGGGACGGCTTCATGGAGGCATAGGGCTTTAAGCAGAGGCCACATATCTATACCGAGAGCATTCAATTCCAAGTCGACGTTTTCTTGATCCCTAGATCCTCTATCGCCATTGAAATACCGAAAGAATAGCGCAAATGAGTCATTCTGCTTATAGAGGTGAATCTGAACCTCGGAAGCTTGTTTATAGACTTCGGTCATCAGGCGGACTTGTGATTCTTTTTCGGAGTAGGGTTCTTGATTTATACAAACTGCATCGGCCCAGACTGTGCGAGACTTTCCATTCTCTCGAACATCAAGCACAGCTTGTAGAAGATTGGGCGTGACGGTTACGCTTACCCTCGACGATAATAGAAGGCTTCTTTTGAGTCGTAGCCGATCCCCAGACGTATGATAGAGCCTCGAAAGAGGGATTCTGAAGGAGGCTAACGGTTCGCAGTGTACATTGAATTTCACCAGTACCTGGAAGTAACTCCAAGACTCTTATCTCTTGCATCTTAGGATCAAGACGGAAACGTGCGTACATTGAGTCAGATGGAGAACTATAAGAGACCTTGGCTGTCCTTCCGCGACCAACAAGTGACTTCTGGGGGGGCTGAGCCTGTAAGATGACGCTTGAAAAGCCTTCGTGGATCGTTTGACTTGAATCATCTGCCATGTACTCTGTAAGACACCACTGATGTAAGTCATTTGATCGAAACCCTGGTTGTAGCTTAGCTTCGTAAGACACACTCATAAAAGTCAGATCACCAACCATCTTTGCCAAAAACATAGGTGGAGTTGAGCAGGAATCCTAGTCTTGGTTACAAAGATCAGATGTCTTTGCAAAGTATTATTCATCTGAGACAACTCAGAATAATGAAGCTCCTGATCTGAGCGACCTGGGGCAGGCCCAGAAATGTCTTTGGGGCATCTGTCATTCCAATCATCTATATTGAGAGGCATCTCCTCACCACCTGCTTTCGCGGCCTCAGATTGCCAATCCTGCAGTGCCGCCTCCGCAAGAAGGCTGGATAGCCATTCGACAACAGTAGTTACTCCCACCTTTTCTGATTCTTCAGTCGAAGGATGGTGTGTGCTTATCTCGAAAAAGAAATGGTCCCTACAGCTCTCGGAATTCGTATCGAATTGGCCACGTTGAGCAGTAAAGCATTCTAGGCAGAGGTCGTGGTCCTCACATTGTTGGCAAACATAGTGGTACCCTGAAGATAGTTGCTGGTTACAACCATCGCATACTATTCGAAACTGGCGAGATGAACTGGGACTCTTGGTGGAATCTAGGAACCAAACACAGTTTTGAAATGTGTCGTCGTCGCCTAACCACAGAGCGATCTTTCCAATCGGCCAGAGATTGTAGTACAGGGTCTCTTGAGCCTCTTTTCCTTCGTTCGAAGCTATGATCTGACATAGCGCAACACAATCGAAGAAATATCCTCGCGCGATTTTCTTGTCGTCGTCATTCTTCCAGATTCCTTGGAATAGCCTATACGCTTTCTTACAGTAGTTCGAGATAAGACTCGATACACAGTTAAGCCCCAGGCCATTTTGTATCGTATTTGCTTGGCGGTACTTTTCGACAAGGTCGAGGAAAAGAAGCCCAGCGTCTTCATACATCCCAAGGGCCTCCAGAGTATGCGCTAAATGCACCCCACAGAAGAGGGCTTCGGTTCCATAAGGATTCGAGTCCCGGTACCTTGTGTATGCTTGAAGCAACACTGCTTTGCATCTTTCCAGGTCTTTCTGGTTATCAAGGGTCTGGGCAAGCTCGCACATGGTTTGCAGTGTGATGACATGGCTTTCGCCATAGACTCTTTCGCAATCTTCTAGCACTCGAGAAAGAGCTGATTCTGCCATAGCGAATTTTCTCTTCACACGATAAAACTTGGCGAGCTCGAAAGCTGCATGAATCGTGATACTGTGGTCTTTTCCAAGCTTCTCTTCGCTCAGATTTATCGTAGAAAGAAGCGCTCCTTCGGCCAGGTCGTAAGATTGCGGCTTTCGTTGGATGTTTTGGAGCAGCATTTCGATTTGCTCAATGGAATTGAGATCGATATCCTGAGCGGCGGTGGAAGCAGTCATAATGGCGGTTGCTAATCTTGAATATCTCGATGAATTGGCAGGGAATTCTTGAGGCGGGGTCTTGCTTGTTTTGTCTTTATCAGCTGAACGCCACTCAAAAATTTGATCAAGTGATCCTAGCACAAAAATTTAGCCTGACGAGGCATACAGCGATTATCCATCAGCCCAGGCCATTATAAGCATCACGCGCCCTGGGCTTAGCTGAAAGCATGGGTATCCTCTATAGGTGTTTGGTCGATAGCCTCTCTGCCACTCAGCCGCCACCATCCAATATTGTCACTTTGGCATGCATGGAGGTGTCATTGCTGACATCTGAACTAATTTCGCTCAACTCAATTGACTAGTACAAGCTAAGAGCTTTGAAAAAGGGACACAAGATTGTAAAAAAAGAGAACAAAAGAAACTACTATCTATACCGTAATAAGGCTTCTGGGAGTAATTCCCCGCTTGACTGCCTAACACTATATAAACAGCCTGAGTCCAAATAACGTGATGTTGAGCGCCACTCCGATTGCTACCGGGGCTTCCCTGCCATGTTCCCTTAGAGCCTGCATTCTCTGTCGCATTGGAGCACCCTGGTCGAACGCTCATGCGACCCACCGAGCTGCTTATAGCATCCAGAACCTCTGTCAATAAATTCACCCATACTCCCTCCCTACGAAGAGGAGCAAGGAAATCAATTCTACTACGATTGATAATGTCATTGACTATCAAGGTTAAATGAACATTATACCATATTAGCCCACTGTAACTGTAATCAATGCTCACAGAAATTCCAACTTCCTCCACTATATTGCTCCTGAATCGACGTCCTTTCATCCATTAACTGTAGCCTTACAACCTTGGCTTCTTCCAGCCCCATTGGCCATTCCACGTCCCTGGCCTTGCCATTGACGCTATCAGGCAAGGACTCGCCATTGTGTAAGCGATGCTGGTCCCACCAATTCTTCTGCTGTGGTGGCACGTTAGAAGTACTGATAATAGGTATAGCTGGATCAACCAAAAACAGTGCAAGAATCTTCCTGTGGCCTGGCTTCGTCCGGTCAACTAGCCTGAAAGGTGAGACATGATGTTGCATGAGGTTCGGGAAGAAAATCGCTCTTCCAGCCTTGGTGTGCACAGAGCCAATATCTTGCTGTCGATCTCCCTCTCTCTCGATTGCAAATGTTCGGTAAATCGGGCCATGTTCATATTGGTTGTAGGATATCTCGTCTGAGAGATCTACGGTATTAGTACGGAAGCTGAGAGAACAGTCTGTGATATTCTCGCTGTCGTAGTAATATAGTGCTGTACTGACGATATGTTCTTTAAGCTGGCCTTCAGTATGCCATGAACCACCGTCGTAAGAAGGACTTTCTGGTGTCAGGTGGATATTAGCCAGCTTAACGATGACCTGGATCTGTTTCTTGTCCTTGAAAAAACCAGTGGTTTTGACATCACCAGGCGTGATCTTGACATAACCAGCAGCGTTTGGGTCTGAATCAGGAACATTGACACGGTGTGTTGACTTGAACCACGCCTCGTCTAGTTTTCTCCGCTGAGATCCCTGAAAGTAGCCCTGCTCTGGATCAGAGTCATCTTGGTCAGAGTCATCCTGATCAGAGTCATCTTGGTCAGAGAGACCTTTGTCCTTTGATCCCTCACAAAACTCGGATGTGTCAGACACTTCGTCGATGTCACAAAGAGACCAACGAGAGTCTTCCTCATATTCCTCACCACCAGGCTCATAAGGATGTCGAGGAGCCTCATCCTGGCCTAGAGGACGGTCCCACGGCTTGCAGCCACAATTGACATCTTCTTCAGCCTGGCAATCAAGTATTGCCTCTTCCGTCTGAAGCCTCTGTACGGCAAAGTCATCTTGCCAGCGGTAAAGGATGTCCCAAGCTGGCAAGGACTTCTTGATAAACCTTTCGACGATAGGGTATAAGTGTGCGTGCTCTTGAGGATGAAGATTGTTAATGTAACTCGTAATCTTGACGCTCCCTGTTGCAGGATCCAGTACAACATCGCAAGGAAGCCACTGGAATCTTTGGGAAAAGGTCACTGAAACTTGGTCCGTGGGAGCCATGAACGGTAGGCGCACGGATCATGACAGCTTGTCCCTCGGCAGTAAAAGCGTCCTCTAAACCAATGACACGGTCCAAAAAGATTCTAGACCGGCCATACGTTAAGGGCTAGAGGGAGGGGTGAACAAGATCGAGGACCTTCCGATCACTGCCGGGATGCCAGTCCTGTTGCTCGGGTGCTATATCCTCCAATATCTTGACCGCCTCTTGGAGGGACTTTGCTAGTTCAGCGGTCATGATAGTATCGGATTTAAGCACAGCGGCGGAATAATCATATACAGGAATAAGGCCCGTTCTCTCATATAGATCAGCTTTGATTCGTAATTCTTGAATACACTAGGCACTATCGTTAATATCTCAAGACAGAAAAATGTCATCATTAACTTACAGCGTCAGCCATGGCGGAAGTAAAGTCGGCGTATCTAAGATAGGATTTCCAGTCCCATAGCCAGAGCTTCCTTTTTCCATTTTGTTGCAATTTCGTTGTCGTTGATCTTCTCCCACCATCTTTGTTTATCAGACAATTCATATATGACTTTGAGCATGCAGCATTCCCGGATAAGAAGGACAACAGCGTTCCAACCATCATCAATATCATCAGGAAACAGTATAGGGAACCGGTCTTTCTCATCAGGCATGTGGTCGAGAAGTAAACCAAAGCCTGGTTTGCGTACGATTAGGTCATCTTCCTGTATCAATCAATGTATAAGTAGTTAAGAACGCTGATCACTGACGAGGTGTGAGTTACCGTATAAGATTGCTCCAAGGTCTTGGAGGATTGCCCGCAGTGTGCAAATTTGGCGTGCTTGACGAGCAAAGCCAAAGTCTGCAAAGAAAAGATGTTGAGATCGAGATCATTTTCTTTGGTGATCCAATATTTTGCTTCCAGGGGCGTTGGGTCATTCGCTCCCACCCATTGCCCAAAGGCTTTCCACTGCTCTTCGGTGAGGTTCCTGACGACATCGTTATCCCATAGGAGCTTCTCCTGAGCGGATGTCAGAGCTGGGCCTTGAGGATAAGGTAGCATTGTTGTTGTGACAGAGTTAAGACCACTGAAGATGTCAGGAAATATCAACTCCTTCTTGTTGCGATTTCTGATTTTATATTCTCTTGAAGTTTTTTTCTCTTTAGGCATCCATAAGCATGGACTCCACTAAACAAGACCAGTACTGTTTTTTTAGCCTGGAACTTTACAGGCCAATTGAGAGACTAAGCTCCTGCTTGGTGTCTAGATGCTTAATTTTAGCCTTTTTAGGTAGTTTAAAGTTTAAATTATTGTGGAAGCAAAAGCACTGAACTGCTTTATTAAGTAAATCGTATCTTGGCCTGCCTCTGAACTCCAGATCGGACCGGTCGTTACCCTTTTTTGTATAGCACATTTACATCATTATAGCAAAACGAGGATGGTGCTGAAACAAGGCACTATGGGCCGTCGCTGCGCTAGTATTCTTTTTCACCTTTAACTACATAAATAGTAAAACCTACTACGTTGATCAGATGGGCAAGAACTCCCGAAATTCTTTCTTCTACAGCCAACATTACCGTGTCAGAGCTGTACCCGAAAAGTGTGCCTTTAAAATTGTATACAGTGCTGAGAATCCAGTCCCAAACAGATCGAACTCTGCCGTATTAAGCTTGGATCGGATTGGGTGTGATTTGGACAAGCCTATTGCCGAATGGCAACCAGTAGGGGTCCATCGGAGGGATGGAGAAAGCGTATCGATCTTGAGCTTACCATGGGAATGCAAGGCGAACCAAAGTGGGAGGCTCGCGCTGGGTCTAATAAGCATGAATAGATACTCACATGCGCGCCTCACACGTAAATACAAGTTTGATATCGAGTATACTAGTTAGTACAACCACATATCAACAGGACTCTCAGGCGGAACACCCTGCTGTCTTTTGACCTAGTAGATTAATTACCACTACTCCATAGGTGTTCAAGTTTAAACATGCGCCAACTGTTAGAGATCAAAGGAGCAACTTGTATTACAGGTGTTATTTAATGGAGATTGACTAGAAGTGGCTCATCTGAGGGAAACTTCTTGCCACCTAAAGTCAGGCTTTTCCAGCATCTCTCCGTTCATTACCCCATACACGTAGCCACCTCCAACAAACTCATATGAATCGTTATGCGATACACTTGGCCGTAATACAACAGGCAATCTGCATCCCTTCAAGATCCAAAGAGAGTCACCAGGGCGGGTGATCTTTGGTATCAGTGCAAAAAGGCCCCTCCCTGTTTTATGGAAACCCAATCCTCTTGCATTATAGATTCGATGGAACAGCTCCTGCAAGGCGGGCATTTCATCTTGGAATTCAGAAATGATCCTCGCCATAATGGTCTCTTCCTCGGTGGCTTTTCTTTCAGCCGGCTCTTCTCGCGCCATTTTTTGCTCAGTATCTTGAGAGAAGGCTACGGTAGGCAGAGATAGTCCTATACGGAGCATGTCCTTAAATTGTTCGTCATCGGGGCTCATGGTGTCTTGTTTGTTGTGATCCATCATCACCTTCAGAGCCGCTTCGTGGACAAGATCGGCAGTTAGAGGATATAGTCTATCCAAGTCACCAGCCGATGTATCAGGCCCAATGAAGAAGCTGAAGGCTTCTTGAATCCAACGAGTCATGGCAACAAAGTTGAAAGGACCAGGAGCTCCATTAGATGACTTGTCAGTAAGATTGTCGATATGATACCCTTGGACGAAACACTGATCACTATCATCCTTGCTGAAGTCTACAGACCACGTGCTTGCTTGCCCCCCTGCTACATGCCACGCAGTACTAATGGGACGTGCTATCCAGACATGCTTCAATGGTTTCGGTGCAGAAAGATCTCGTATCCAAGTAGGGTATTCTTCAGCACGACCAGGTAGACCAGCGCAAAGCAGGAGATCTCCCCCTGAATCAGTCTGCAATGCATATTTCCAGAATCGCATTGTTATGTCCCTCATAGAACAAGTATAATCAGGCCGAAGACTGAGTGCTTTCTCCTTGTCGTTCTCATCGATCATGCCGAGAATACCGAAATAACGGTCCCGAGGCACACTGCAGCCGTGGGAGGAAAAGAACACCATACTCATTGGCAAGTTTGCTTGATTCATATCGACTCCACTCATGAGTAGTTTGACAATCTCGTTCAACTCACGGCCATGTGACGTGTTGAGATCAATGAGTCGACATAAACGAACTATACACATGGAATTATATGATGTGAAGAGGCTCACTAGGTCCTCGTTGGTGAACTCAGCTTGATCCCACGGCCACTTAACTCCTTTATACCATAAAGTACCTGCCCAGAGCTGTCCCCAAGGGATGTATCGACGCCCAACGATCATGACTGCATCGCGTCCAAGGACAAATTCTTGCACGACCCAAAGGCGGTGAAACCATGGCGCAGAAATGAGTTGACGATACCTCGCAGGCCATTCGTCTCCTTCAACCCCTTCAATGGCATCTGCCTCCTCATCTGTTGGGTATGGGATATCCAAGAGCTTTGCAGTTGACTCTCCGGAGAGGATCATGGAGTCCCCCTGACCCAGCACAAGTCCACGACGGATGTTTTGTTTCCAATAGCGCTCTATGGCGTCGAGTATAAGTGCGAAGTTCTCTGTTTGTTCGCCAATATCGCACAGAACCCTTATGGCAGAGCTGTAAATGATGCCCATGAGAGACACTTGGACTTCTTTCTCCGCCATATCTACCTGGTTGATGCAAAGACCATCAGCCCAGTAAAGGTGGGACCTTTCTTCGTCGCGAAGTCGGCGTAGAATAGAAGCGAGTGATGCTGTTATCGGAATGGACCCTTGAGCGGTGAAAAAGGTGTCTGTGAAGGTCGACTGGCCCCAAACATAGGAGATTGCGTCAAAGCAAACGTATTTCTCTGGGTCTATCGGATCTGTTTGAGCTGCAGTGCCTGCTGTTCGTCGTGGGGGAAGCTCTTCCAAGTTTTTGACAATCAGCTCGCCATTGAGCTGATCTGCTTCTTGACCAGGGTTGAGGTGCAGCAGTCTTATCTGTCCAGCGCCGAGTGGAACGTACTTGTAAGGCAGATCTTCCAAGTCAGCCGCTGCATTCTTTGGACGTATAACGAAAGGAATTCTGCTCATTTTCACAGCAAAACGTAGGAAACTTGATGTTCTCTAGTCTTGAGAGCCCCGATCTTATTGCTGACGGGCCCTCCTTGACCCCGCAGTCGGGGCCAAAGATCCTGCGTGACCAGCCATAGCCAATGACGATTGCGTCTCATGGTTCGACTCATTTGAGCGGATTGAGCCTCAAAGAACCATCGTCAATCTTATTCTTGGTCCGTTGCAAGCCTAGGAATTTAATTCACGTACCCTACTAATTAAGAGTTCCTTACCATTGCTCGGTCAATGAGGAGCTTGGGTATCTCGATTGCATTGAGACAAGGCTACTGTTTTAAGCACCTTAGTTTAAATAAGAGTCTAGTAGTCCGGAAAATGTCAAAATAACACAGGTTTTCATAGTAACTTTCGGAAACGATAAACACTAAACGAATAGAAGAGAAATAATTATTAGAGCTGGCGAAAGGACAGTGCAGAGTCAAGACAGATCAAAGATAAAGGGCAGCACAGTACTGCTCACTAAGCTATAGTGGATCATTCTAACTGATGCTGACAGCCCACCGGAGCACGAGTAAATGTCTCAACAGCCTTCGATGTTGGACCGCCTAATTCTACACATAACCATGTTTTATATAGAAAGACGGATTATCCGATAGATAAATCATACTTCTAAATCTGCACACTTTGTATTTCACATAATATGCTATAGACAGAGAATGTCAATATGTGCATCAGAGAGAATAGTATTAACTGATAGCTTATATGTACAAAGAAAACAAACAGAAGATAGTACCAGCTATATGTCATGTTCTACACAACTTCATGTACTTCTCCTCACCCAAATTCAAAACACTTAGCAAGAGGCACCAGAGGGAATACCCTTGCACTTGGTAGAGGTCTTTCCACCAGTGACCTTGTTGTTGGTCCAGGTCCAGTTCTTGCAGCTGGCGCAGAGGATGTAGACGTCAGTTCCGCTGGACTTAACAGTTCCGGCGACCTTGTTGATGGTGACGTCGGTGATAGGGACACCAGAAGTGGGGTTTCCAGTAGGAGAGCCGTTCTCGTAATCCTGCTCAATGACGATACCGTACTTGGCGATGTTGGAGAGAGTGATGGTGTCGTACTTGACATCGGAAACGGAACCAGTAGCGCCGGAAACGGTCTTGATGCGGACACCGTTGTCGGAGTTGGAGATTGCAGAGTTGAGGATGCGAACAGTCTTGACGGTGTTATCAGAGCGTCCACCAACAGATCCGATGGAGAGACCGTGGCCACCGCTGCAGTTACCGCCGGTGAAGGTGAGGTTGGTGCCCGAGTTGATGGCGAGACAGTCGTCCTGGTTCTTGACGACAGCTCCAGAGATGTATACGCCAGTAGAGGAGCCAACGTCGAAAGCATCGGTGTTATGTCCGCCGAGAGAGTCGCCGGCAGAGTTGTCCATGTGAACGCCATAGACGCCCAGGTTGGTAACGCTGTTGATGCTGAAAGCCTGGACAGGGGTGTTGAGAACGTTCAGGTTTTTGATGTTGGAGTTCTTGAGGGAGTGGGCGCTGAAGAACTTGGGCTTTGTCTTGCCGCCGTTGCTACCCTTGCCATCCCACCATCTCTTACCATCGCAGTCGATGGAGTGTCCAGAAGCTCCCTCGATGAGCAGGTTGTTACCAGTGAAGGAGATGAGAGGACCCTCCCATTCAGCATAGCCGAAAGTGGTCTTGCCCTGGAAGATGACGTGAGTGCCATCCTTGAGCTTCGTCAAGTCGAGAGTGGTCTTGGCAGGAACGGCAATGTTGTTGAGGGTGATGGTAGAGCAGCCAGCCTTGTTCTTGATGGCAGTAGCGGCATCGGTGAAAGTGCAGCTGGCACGAGGCTCAAGAGCTGGGGCTGCAAGTACAGAGGCGACCAGGCCGCTGAGAAGGACAGTTGAAGAGAACATGTTAATGAATGAATTTTAAAAGAATGGAAGTTTTGAGAGAAAGTATATATACGAAGTGAAGTATACTGCTGAATGGAATGCGGATGCCAAGAATAAGATCGTCGATGATGCCAAGAGCACGCGGCTCTCTTATATACCAAGTGCACTCCCTAACTATATCTGAAGCGCGCATTCGAAGCTTGAATCATGAAGTACCCGCGTATAGATGCCGTTCAGCCGTGACAATGGCCCGTGTTTACAACATCATCGGCCCTGCATCTGGATTAGGGATCGCGAGTTTGGATCGGGAATTACCAGAGTGCTCCACATCGCCCCCAATCTACCGGGGCTAAGATTGAAACACTAACATCGACGCCACAAAAAGTTTAGTCAATTGGTGGACTGCATTTTTCCAGAGCAACCTGTCAGGCTGTCATGTTTCACCATCGAGTCTGGAATCTGAACCATCTCGGATGCCCGGCACATTCAACGTATTCCAGCTGTTTCTCAAACGACTTTTAAATAAGTAAAACTGCTGCACGGTGCGTGACATCGTAAAGTGGGAGATGCGATGCGATTCCTCAATTGCACTAGCTAGTGTAACTTCCCCCAAAGCGTTCGGCAATAAGGCACGCCGGTGATTCTTTTCATTCGTGGGTGTATTTCCCCAGATTGTGTGATTGCATAAGCTGGCACTACCTTCTTTATTAGCAACGGAACAAAGAACTCTATTCTCTTTAGAATTTAACTTTACTAAGTTAACGTTGATTTTTACCTCCTTTAAGTCTGGCACTAAATACTGTGCTAATTACCTTTTACCTCTAGCTCCGATATATCGATCAGTGTGATTGGAGGCATAGCGATTTGAATTAGGAAGCAACCGTCTCGAGCCTCCCAGAGCCCATTTGTCTCATTTCTATCGCTCGCAGTTCGTAGACCCTCCAGGTGATGACATACAACGTATACCATTCACAGTGAGAGCACAAGGCTATAGATGCCCCCAATGAGAAAGAAGTCTGGATCGCAAACCAGAAAGCGTGTCCTAGAAGTTGCAATAGACCTGATGTATTAAGATATTAGTCCAAGACTAATATAGAAGTATTATTAAGCATCTAATAGTAATTATCTTATAAATAAATTAATTTAGCTTATTTTCTTATTTAATTTTATTTAAGTATTATTAATAATATTATCTATAATATTCTAGTGTAGTTAATACTGATTTATTAACTTAGCTGTTTATAGATTATTTTCCCAGTAATATATATATTTTAAATTTCATAACGATAATCTTGGGCTCTATCAGCATCGCCTCCCATGTCAATGGGCACGCCTGCTTCAGGTCTACCGAAACGCCGATCACGTTGGCGGTTCTCCCTATAAAGCATAACACTCATACCAACAGCGCTCAAGGCCGTGAGGAACACAAGGGAGCTTGATACTGCGTTGCCCATGAGATAGTACGGTGCGTCAGTCTTGGGATAGATGTTGGACGCGGCAACGCCCACGGCGTGAGTGACAGCAATGACAATACCGAGGCCGACGCCTGCCTTTGTGTCTCCAGCAAAAGTCGATGTGATCCAAGTAAGGACGATAGGGAAGGCCATATATGTTCCCTTTGACAACAGGGGTCAGTGGGCGGGTTTTATGAAACTCCGACTGCTATATGGACAACATACCGTGACAGCAAGAAAACATGTTATGTATCGCGACAAGTCGTCTTTCAAAAGACCGAGACAGATGTATCCAGTCCCAGCGATCAACCCTCCAATAGAAATTGGAATACCTCTGACCCGAAACCTGTCAGACAAGGCGGCCGTGATAAGTAAAATGACATAGGCGACGGCGTAAATGGGAGCTGTCATTAGATTCGCCCGCACAGAGTGGTAACCCAAATCCTTTACAATTGTAGGCAGGAACACGGCAGCGACGGCAAGGGACAAGGACAGACCGGAATACATGACGCAGAAAAGGTAAAGACGGTAATCAAGAAAAGCTCTGTCGGATTCTTCGTTAATTATTGGATAGCTAGTCGGACAAATAAATAGAGAAAGACCTACGCTTTGACTTGATCTTTGCTGATGCCTTCGTCTGCGTTCTTGGTGAACCTGCTACGTCGATCCAAGATAATTTGATGCTCCTCGTCCGTGAACCAAAACGACTTCCCGGACTCTGGTCGGCCAGGTAGCATCCAGAAAGTAGCAACCCCCACAGCAATTGTCGGAAGGCCCTCGACAAGGAACAAGCCCTGCCAAGGAGCAACAGCCATGCCGTTGGCAAGGCCCATACCGTAAGCAACTAGGCCTGAGATGACACCGCTCAGGGCGCTCATACCGGCGTATGCCGCGATGCGCAGAGATAGTTCAGACTTGAGGTACCAGAAGCTGAGGTACAAGGCACATCCAGGGGCGAATGATGCCTCAAAAACCCCGAGGAAGAAACGCACAGCGATGAGTCCTCCGGGATTGACACATGCAGCCTGTAAAGTACTGACAGCGCCCCAGCCCACGGCACAGATACCCAGCCACGTGGAAGGTTTGACTACTTTCAACATCAAGGCACCAATCGTGCCGAATATGACCGTGCCAATGTAGAAAGAAGCTGAGGCAATCTGATACTGGATACTGGAGAGACCAACATCCTCTGCGAGGCCAATATTGCGGGCGTTTCCCATGTTACTTCGATCGATGTAAGAGAGAAGGTAGAGGAGCATGATCCAGGGGAGTATGGTCCTGTCGAGCTTTCGGACAAGCCGTTTCTCATCCGCTTGGCCGAAGGATACTGGGCTCTCGGTGTTTGCTTTGGTGGCTTCGGTGTTGTTCTCGAGGTGAAGGCATGGTTGCTGGTTCTTGAGGCCTGACATGATATGCGGATATCCTTGATTGAATGGAGAATGAGATGGAGAGCATTTGTACAGTAGTGAAATGGAGTCAGATATAGCATCGTTTATATAGCATTGTGATGAGCGGACAGTCTTCTGCCGATGTTGCAGGCAATGGCGGGTGGAATCCGCTGGATACAACGAGCAAACAAAGGGGAAATCAGAATAGACTCACGAGTAGCCTGGTATGTAGATTGCTTCCCCACGGGGCCCCGGAATCGTGGGGAAGCGGAGCAAACACCGCCCCAGCGCTTGGCGGCGAGTCTCCGTGATCAATTTCCATACACCACCCCGTGCGGCATTTGCCCGTTCTCCAAATCCAGCGGGTGCGTATGTACGGCAGAGTTCCGCTCCCGGTCTTTTCTTGGCCCAATGACCTAGACTATGTAACCATGCCTTTACCAGTTCGAAACGTCAGCATCACCTGGACATTGCTCAGCTATCCTGCGAGATGAATTGGTTCGCCCCCCCTCCCGTGCTAGAGCCAAAGCTCCTGACCACGCTTCCATTCAAATTTCGCACTGTTGGCGTATCAGAGCACTCGACGAACCAGAAACGTGGACGACCACTCGACAGCTTCCTTGAAGGTCCAGTCGTCATAGACGATACGCTGTATCTTGCCGACATCCCTTACGGCCGGATCTTTGCCGTCAATCTAGATACAAATGAATGGGACCTTGTGATACAATACGACGGTGAGCCCAATGGCCTAGCATGGCATAAACAACGACGCCAACTCCTCATCGCCGACTTCAAACATGGCATCCTTGCTCTCGACCTCGAAACCAAGATTATGACCACTGTGATGGATCGCTTCAACGGCGAGCGGCTCAAGGGACCTAACGACCTGATCGTCACCTGCGACGGCAGCATAATCTTCACAGATCAGGGCATGAGCGGGCTTCAAGACCCAACGGGGCGCGTATACCGCATTAGCTCAGGCTTCAACACAGGAAGTGGCCCTAATCGCGTCGAGGTGCTGCTTCGCAACTGTCCGTCGCCCAATGGCCTAGTTCTCGACAAAGATGAAAAGAACCTCTTCGTCGCCATGACAAGGGACAATAGTGTTTGGCTTGCGCCCTTGTACCCAGACGGCAGTGTGCAGCGAACAGGGCGATTTTCGAGTTACTTTGGTGTTGGGGGACCTGATGGCCTGTTGACGAATCGAGAGGGTGATCTCTTTGTTGCTCATTCTACACTGGGCATGGTTTTCGTGCACCACAAGGACGGCACACCTCTTGCAGCCGTCACGACAAAGGGTTTTGGTTCCGGCACGACTAATTTAACTTGGGGAGAGGGGGCTGAGAAGACTCTTTACATCGTTGAAAGTGAGTCTGGTACAATTCTGACACTGGATTGGTGTAATGTAGCGACTGTGCAGTAGAGCTCTACAGTGATCTCTTAAGAATCTCTTAGTAAAGCTGGAAATATGGCCGTGTATCGAGCAGGCCCCAATTGGTGACGAGATGGGAACCATTATATGTACACTTAAAGCCTATCTGGCCGGAGTGATAACCTGTACTTTGACTCTTGCATTGCATGCCTTTGCCGGCCAGGCGATGGAACCAGCGATAACAACCGGGAATTTCGACGAATCGCATTGGGAGCCTTCTGAAGTTCAGCGCTGCTATTGATCCAAGTGATTTACAGTCTGATAAGAAACGAGCAGCAGCAAAACGTTGTAATTCATTGTCCTTTAGTTGTCTACCCTAGTAATCCATGCCTCAGAGTAAATTAAAAGCATACCGCTGGATAACTCACGCAATTGTTTCCTGAGGCTATTCCAGACTAGGTGTGGCTGTGTGGGGTAGAGCGTACGCGATCCTCGGCAAATCCGCCTATGACAGCTACGCTGGCGTATGAGCTGCGTGGTGGAGCTGCGTTGTGACAGGAACGAAATCAGCAAAAGCTACACATTAGCAGGGCCGAAATCCATCTCAAGATTACATACAAGCGCGCGCGAACTGTTTAGTCAAGTTGGAGTCCTGACAAATACAGTCTGATTCGCAGTGCGCTTACAAATGTTATTCAGTTTACGCTTTACCCTCTTGGCTATGTAGGATCTGCAATTATCTTAAATATCTGGTGATGATTTGTCTGTAATACGTATATAAGGTGCTTATCACATACCACTCCTAGATCTACTCAAGTCACAGACTGCCAAATATTCTTATTTTTCAATACCTTCCAGAGCACCAGACTTACCCACCATGTTGCCACGACTCTCGTACATCGTGTTGTTGTGCACGTCCTCTTTCAAAGGCATAATTGCAGCCGCAAAGCCTGCCGATAGCTGCTCGTCAACGACTGCACCTCGTGTTAATTTGGGCTATGCTAAATACGAAGGTGTAGCCCTTTCCAACGGCCTCAACCAGTTCCTGGGTATGCGGTATGTTGATACAACACTCTCATCTCGACATGCTGCTTATGTTAGCTCAGATACGCCGCGCCGCCCACGGGGTCACGCCGTTTCTGGTTGCCTGATCGACCCCTCAATGAAACACACTTAGTCCAGGCTCACAAGGTGAGTTATAACACTCACAATCTAGACCTACATCTAATCTTCAAATACTAGCACGGCGCTGTCTGTTATGGCGTTACCCCATCTGTTCCGACCCCCGACTTAGAGTTCTCAGAAGACTGCCTGTTCATCGACGTATACGCTCCGAAAAATGCGACCTTCAACAAAGATGGCGGCCTTCCAGTCATGTTGTGGCTCCAAGGTGGTGGATTTGTCCAGATCATCAACGCAAACTACAATGGCTCCGGCCTCATCGAAGCAACCCAGGGAAACATGATTGTGGCCACCTTCAACTACCGTGTTGGTCCGTACGGGTTCCTTGCCAACCATCAATTGAAAGAAGAAGGAAACCTGAACGTGGGACTTCACGATCAGATGGCCGCTATCGAATGGATTCATGAACATATCTCCAAATTCGGAGGCGATCCGAAAAAAGTAACACTTTTCGGTACTTCAGTTGGCGGAGGCAGTGTCATTCTACAATTACTGGCATACGGAGGTAAGTCTACAAATAGCACTAAGCATTGGAGTGCAGGAATTGCCGAGTCTATGTATCTGCCCTCAGTCTACACTGTTGATGAGATGCAGTTCCATTACGATCACCTGCTCAAGGCTACGAACTGTAGCGACTTGGAATGTCTGCGTCAGTTGCCTATTGAACAGTTCCAAGCCAAGAATGTGGCTATCCCATTCCCAGGTCAACATGAGCCCGCCCTCTTTGGATATGGTCCGACCATCGACGGTAGCCTTCTCCCAGATCGGCCTTCCACTTTGCTTCAACAAGGACGGTTTGCTAAAGACAAACCAATGATCCTGGGATCCTCCAACACGGAAGGAACGGTCTTTGCACCTCAGGCCAATACTACTGAAGATGTTAACCATTTCCTAACGGCGCAACTCCCTGGTCTGACAACAACGGCCCTGAGTAGGCTAAACCACCTTTATTCAGATATACCAGCCACGTATCCCAATGTCAACGTGACGCAGGCTCCACTATACTACAGAGCGGCAGAAATGTTCGGCGATTCCTCCTTCCTTTGTCCGGCTTTCCACTTTGCGGCCGGTCTCCATCATGCCGGTGTTCCAGTGTACTTATATCTTGATCGCATCTTTGATCCGATCGAAGTCCAAGCTGGTTACATTGTGCCACATACTTTCGACACGCAGGCTGTCTGGGGACCATCATTCGCCATAAACTACGCTGCTCTGCCGGGGGCCACGAGCTACAAACCTGGTCAATCTAATGCTGCGGTAGTCCCTGTAGTGCAGGCTTTTTGGACTAGTTTTGCTCGGTCTGCTGGCAATCCTAACATCTTAAGGGCTAACGGGACGCCATTTTGGAAGGAATCCATGGGCAGTAGCTTTCTAAACATCGAGACGAACAATACTAGGATGGAACAAATAAGTAACTCATTATCTGAGAAATGTGCTTACTGGGCGGGCCTTGCGGCGGAAATAAAGCAATAGCTGTTTCCGGAGTATATTTCCTTTATATAAATTATTCCTCGGTACTGGTAACTATAGCGAATTACTTAAATAGAGCTGCTAGTCTTTATAGTTTATACAGTCTGATTTAAATCTATTACCTCTAGCTACCATGCTTTTCTACCTGTAAAATTATAAATAACGTCAATGGGTTACATCCAGTAAGGCTCGATATCCTAACGAAGGGCCTTGCAGGTCTGGAGTAAATTAATTACCTGAGACTTACAAATCGAGGCTGTACTTACTAATATAAGTCTTAAGTTTGTTTTTCTACAGCTTCCCAGACACCCATTTAAGAACGGGTCTTTGTTGTTGAAACGAGGTAGAACTGGTTTCGTGACTTGATGATAAATACCAAGTTAGAGTCTGGCGGGTGTGCTGGGTAGCGCGAACCTGCCTGACGCAATACTCTATATCTTAAAAGTGTTAGAATTTGCCTACGGTTATATCACGTAGATGGAAAAGGTAGGTTCTAATTATGTGAAAGTCACATACAATTTACCAGTATTTAAAAGATTGTAACCTAAATCTAGTACATCCGAGCTATAGAGACTTGAATGGTTTCCAAACAGGACCAGCAATAGTTATACTTGGGGCCTATCTGGCCGAAGTGAAATTCTGTACTTCACTACCTCTGGATCCTCGTACTCTTCCATCCACCGAGGATCAAGAGTAATGCTCCATTGCCTCACATGGACCATGTCCTGGTTATGGATGTCTGCAAGGGACTCATGGAACTGAGTGTCCTCCTGTCTCTTTTCTGGAGTTGCCGTCCTTACCCACTTCTGCATATTATGTTCTTTCGCGACTTCATCATCGGCCCATATACCAAGAGGGTCTTCACTATATCCTCCCATCTGGATCATTCTCTTATTCTCAATGGAGAAAGCATTCGTGAAAGTGAGCCACTTGTCGCGACGGGCATTTGCCCAGTAGTCAAGGAGGTCTTCTCGTGCTCGACCATTGATCACGGCACCGAGAGCACGGCCGAGGGGGCCTGCGTCCAAGAGGCCTGTAGTCAATCCCAGTCCTCCAATAGGGTTGTTGCTCTAGGCTGTTCGTCAGTACTTCAGACGATCTCACAGAATATCGTGGCAAGGGTCTTTGAGAATTAGTACGCACATGAGCAGCATCTCCCGCTAGCAAAACTCTTCCTTTCTTGAAAGTCGAAGCACATCTCTGATGAGGCTTGTACTTGTTTAGCTCCACGAGCTCGTATTCGACAGGCCAGACTGGAAAGATATGCTTGTAGTGCTCATCGATCTCGGCCCGAATCTCATCGTTTGTCATTCCTGCCTTAACGCCAAAGGCACAACGCCAAAGGCCAGCATCGTCTAGAATACATACGACGGACCAGTGAACAGGGTTCATGATAAAGTTGGCTGTAGAAAACCCATGCCTCATGAAATCGAAGCGTACGTTGGTTGCGACAAAGTCTTCCTTGGGCCAAGAGAAGCCGTCAAATGTGATGTCAGAGAGTCTCCGGACGGCTGATCCAGCGCCATCGGCCCCTACCAGCCAGTTGCAGGTGTATCTGATTTCGATGTTTGTGTTAGTGTCTAAAGCCACGACTTCGACTATATCCTGTCCCTCGTCGGGGTTGATTTCAGTGACCTTCTGGCAGAACTTGATCTCAGCATTGTATTTATTGAGGAGATGATCGACCAAGATTTTGGCTAGCTTGGGTTGCGGGCAATTGAGTCCGGCAGGGAATCTATCGGCATCTTGAGTCTTGGTGATAGAAGCGACCCTCTCCTTGTTCTTCCAGAAAGTCATGACATCATTGAGAACAGATTCCTTTCGGACATCGTCGAGTGTTCCAGATTCGAGCAGTTCCGCCTGTGCACAAGGTTGATAAACAGCCGCGCGGGGAGACTGGTCGACTTCGTGGTTCCTCTCTAGAATCAGCACTGGCACATTGAGTTTGGCCAAGTTGACTGCCGTGATTAAACCAACCGGGCCTGCCCCAACAATAATGACCGGACGCGGTTTTGAGTTAGGGGGAGACATGATTTCGTTAATGATAAGCAAAAGTTGACGTTTTTGTAGGACGCAGATCCAATATTTGGGAAAAAGGATATTGTTGGCTGGTTCTGAGATATAATAGGAATGCCTATAGTAAAGGAAGTAAATCAAGTCTCTCCTCTTTGTCCCACATACGAGAACCTGTATTTTGGCAGATCCAGGGTATTTAGAAATGGTCTGCTGAGCTGACCCCACAAAGCGCCAAGACAGAGGTTGCGAGGGGTAAGTAGCATCAGGACTTCAAGGCCCATCAAGTCCAGCATAGCACATGAGCAAGTGGAACCAGGTAAATATTTATTTATTTTCACATTTATACAACAGACACGCTTTAGTCTATGCCTTGTAGAGATGTTTTATTCTCCCACTACTTAGTCTTCCCCATCTACGAAGCTGAGGAAGCATCTTGTCTCTCCCAACCCATAAATCAACTACTGGTAACAATTTATCCGTAGTTGGGGGGTCCTTCACCACCATCCCCTTGCTTGGCCGTTGTAAATTATGCTGTGCCAGCCTAAAATATATCATTGAGATGTCATAAGCTTTCACTATCAATTAACTTGCTTTCTTCCTCAAGCTTATCTTACCTTACTCAAGATAAGACGCTGCACAGTGACTAACTATTCTGGGATAGCTGCTGGAAAAGCGGGGTCCATGCAAGTCACGTCGGCTCCAAGATTGGGGAACGAACATGCATTCATACTCATCAACATCCCTTATCTCATACCTAGTGAGCTCCCTACCTGACTCAATACGACCGTCAGTTACAGACCGAGTGGTTATGGAACAACGAAGACGCGTCTCCCGAGCGTAAGATTCCTAGACAAGCCCAGGAGGGGTACACCAAATTCGTCTAATGTCGGATGCGATAGGTGCGATGAATGTCGTCGATTGAAAGAGAAATGTGAAAGCGGCTTCCCGTGCCGCAGATGTTCCCATCTCCAACGACAATGTAGATATACAGATCCGACCCCGAAACCTCGTGAGTTTCGGGCCTACGTTCCGAGGTGAGTAGCTTCATCGATTGTCGAGAGCATGTCTGACAGCTCGAAGAGAAAGCCGTCGGAGACCAGATACGAGCCAACTGATTGAACGTTCAAAGCACATGGAGCGGATACTACGGCGCACCATGCCAGGAGTGTCGCTGGACACTGAGAACCTCTCCAACATAGCGGACAGACTCGAAGCCGAGCATCAGAGTCTAAATCCGGCCTTGGAGGGCCCGAGGGACTTGGAAGCGTTGGGGGACAACTTGGAAGCGTTGGAGATCGATGATGAGGCGTGTACAATGCAACCAGTTGGAGATACGGCAGCGTGTTCGTTACCTCATACTTGACTTGCATTGAAGACGGACACTAAAGGATTACAGATTTCTCAGGAGAATTCTCTTACTGGAATTTCTCCATGCGCATCAAAAACCTAATAGAGAGCCAGATACAAGAACCGGAGAGCCGACGGGTATTTTATACTACCTATGGGTAATACCTATGATTTATACATCATTAACTAATAATGTGCAGGGGGCCAATAGTCAGAATGATGACTCGGATGGTTATCCACGTGCGCATCACCTACGTCCTGGGCGTAGCCACTTGTCCGAAGCAATGTCATCGTTTCCTCCTGCCAGCATATCAAACTTTCTGGTGACAGTCTTTTTCAAGTTTGCTGAGAGTTATCTCTTCTTCGTTGAACAAAGCTGGGTTTTTGAGAAATTAGATCTGCTCTACAAGAGCCCTCAAGCTCTGTCCCAACCTGGTAGTGAAGCGACGGTCAGTATCCTCCTGACCGTCCTTGCCATTGGAACACAATACGCTCATCTTGAACACACCGACGGATCTGATACCACCTCGACGCCAGGCCTCTTGGAGGAAGAGATAGGCGCCATGTTTTACCAACAAGCAATTCGGCTGCTTCCCGAAATCATCGAAATCTCATCCCTCGAAAGTGTGCAGGCATGCCTGTTGTTCGGATACTATTCAGTGCCGATTGACGCTTCTGGCCTTGGTTTTATATACCTCAACCTGGCTACTAGATTAGGGATGCAGAATGGCATGCATCGCAAATGCAGCAACAGCGCCTTTAACGCAAGCGTAATCGAGACTCGAAACCGCGTTTGGTGGACGATCTACGTGGTGGAAAGGTAAGCTATTCTTCCCCATACTGCACTCCGCTGACCCGAGAGAAGAAAGATATCTATTTTCCACGGCCGGCCCATCTCGGTGTCTCGGTCAAATATCGATGCCACTCTACCAGTGCATCAAGGGGGCTTACAATCAGATGATGAGCGTAAACGAGCTTCGTTTTCAAGAGTCTCTGTACAGCTGATGTACTTTCTCGAAGACATGTATCACGAAATGTAAGTTGAGAACAAGCCTCCACGCATAAGACAAGATACGGTTACCTATGAATAACACCTATACAGAAACATCTTGCGCAATTGTCGAAAGCGAGAGATAGTCACAATTGTATCGCGACTTGTGGCCAAAAGGGACAGTTTGATCACATGGTGGCAATCTCTCCCTCCGGATACGATCGGCTCGAATGAGCAACCAACAATGACACAGTCACGGTCAGTGATGCATCTGAGACTCGATTACTGCCTGGTGCGCATGTTTGTTGGGAGGCCGTTTTTATTGAAGAAAGATACAAAAGACTCAGCGACAAGTCCATCCGTTCCCGAAAACAGTCCTGGGACCAACGAAAGAACAGCCTCGAAACTCGGGACTAGCCGAGAAGAGCTGATAAGCGACTGTATAAAAGCGGCAACAGAAGCCCTTGATATTTGTCAGCAGCTACGGTCGAGCGAGATGGGTCTTGCTCGGGCCTCGTATCCCGAATACAGTGCGTGTAGGGCATCGTTGCTGGTGCTAATTGCCTACTCGATCCGCAATCTCTCTGATCAATTCCGCAAGTCGTTATGTGATGGATTGGATATGATAAGGGAAATGTCTGCTATTGGAGAGTCGGCACGTTCTGAAGTCTCCTTGATCGAGTCGCTTGAACGTGCTCTCGCTCGTCTGCACGCTGGACCACGGCCGAATGACGTGGGTAGCCGTAACCAAGCAGGTTCCGATTCGGCATACGAAGCATTCCGCAGCTGGGGAGCCACCTTGGCGGGCAAGAATGGTCTCGAAGCCGCTACAACAGCTGCTCCAAATGCCTCAGGTAATCAAGCGGAGACGGACTCCACGTCTGGTTGGCCCGTGGACTTCCAGGCCCTGTCCAGCATGGACTTTTTCAGTGCTTACGACCCTATGGCGGATCCTCTACTTCAACTGCCCTTCTTTGGGACGGAAAATCTCTCTCCGACTGATGGATGGCTTACGCAGTCCGAGACAGAGATACTTGGGCGATTCATTACAGGACCTCACGGAGGAAACTAGGCAGAGCAGGCTGATCATATTAAAACAAGGTTAATTTAGCTTATTCAAAACAGACAAGAGCTAAAGCGATGCTTTTACAATCCCCTTTGCCATCTCCGGAAGTGTATCAGCTATAACCTCCATCTGGGTGTCGAAGATGTCAGAGCAGGGATCCTGTTCATAGATGGTGCAATAAGCACCCCGGAAGCCAACCTTGACCGCAGCAGAGACGTCCCACATGTGAGCAGCAGCAAACCACTTGACATCATCCGGTGCGAATCGAGCTAGGGTTGGCTTGTACGCAGCCAACGCGGGCTTGGCCACGCCCTGTCCATCGCAGCTGATGAGGTTCTCGAGCGGCATGTCAACGCCAGCGCGCTCAAAGTATCCACCCACACGCTTGACATCACCTGTTGTCAAACACCACACTGTGAAGCCGGCGTCTCTCAATATTTGAAAGCACTCTTGAGCTCCGGGTCGCAACTCAAGGTCCGAATAAGCCAGGACACAGGAGTCCCTTTCTGCGTCCGTGACGAGTTCTCGTGGTGCCGCAACACCAACCATGAACAGAGTGCGGTAGAACAAGGTACGCAAGACTTCCTTGTAGGGACGATGGCGCTCAGAGACGGAGAGAAAGGTGAACTCCAGCTCGGCAGCCGTCATCCAAGTGTAGCCGAATGCATTGGCTGTGATGTGCTTGGTGGCTAGCTTCTCGCCAATGACACGGTCGATGCCTTTGTAGAAGGCATCGAAAGAGACGCAGGTGCCGACTACGTCGAAAACGACATGCTTTTGATTGGCCATGATGGGGACTTGATGCCAACCTTGGTTGCAATCCTTGAAGATAGACGAGAGCGGGGAAAGAGGGGGAAGGAAAGTTTGCCGAAACAAGATAAGATGCGGATAGGAAGGGCAAGATGACCTGAGGTTACGTAGTAGACACTTATGAATTATCTCAAGAGGAGACGAGTTGCAGCATCATTAACAACGTAAAATGGCCTCTTTTATCCAATGATGAATGTGACACTGGTACTCTGTACCGTACTCCACTGCAACCGGGGTTATCACCATTTCATCTAGATCTAGCCTAATGGAGTAGGACCGGACCGGCCAGACATGATTGGCTACTGCATCTTGACGCTATCAGTCACCCTTATCGGGGGTTTCACATTTGGTTCTTGGCCCTCGCGGCTCCGGATCGGAGATATGCTAGCGGCTTTCAAAGTAGTCTAGTGGTACTCCGTATCTTGAGATGTCAAGCGATAAGGGCATGCCGTTGCCACCGTTCCGGTCTGGATCCTTCTCCCATGACTTATCTATAGAAAACACATGTCTTATACATATCTATGTTTTAAACTAGTAAACATTAAGTGAATTATTCTAGATAGATAAAGTAAGTTTTATAATCCCTCTCTAAAGATTCAGTCCCAATAGAGCATACCTAGATTAGATATTCGAGGTTTGAATGTACTGTAGTGCGGAGTAGCTGCAGCCAAGCTACTTAGCCGGCTGACTGACACGCGGGAATCTGCAGCACACTCTCGGCGTTTCCCACATGTCCCACTTCCCCACAAAGTGTAGATTTATTTTAGAATGACCGACTGATCATTCTACGCCTTTGTTGCGCCGCATCGATGGGTTTCGCTGTCTTATACTCAACCGTATTCCTAGTATTATAGAGAATGCAATTTACAAGTCTTATACATACACATTACACTAAATCCCACAAAAACAATCTTGAAATATAGCTTATGAGTTATAGGGTAGGTTATAAAAGCGTTTTAATAATAATAAATAATAACTACACTACGTACATCAGATCTCCACGTGTCTTCAGCCAGATACAGCAGAAACCCCGCAAAGCTATCCCGCTATTCCCAAACGCTCAAGACCACAAAAAGTTCAGTTTTGCCAGTCCTCGCTTGGGCTTTGGCTCCACCCTTGGCTCACTCTGGTAACGATCGATCAAATGACGAAGCTGAACGTCTTCCAATGGAATGATCTTGGTCTTGAACCACAGCTTATAGCCGAAATACGTAATGAGTACGAAAGGCAAATTGAAGTAGTTTGAAATAAACGTCTCGATCTCCCAATGCCCATGGAGAAAGGTCGTATAGCCACCAGTGAAGAACAGCAGAATAAACAAGACAAGGGAGGCGTAGGTTGTATAAGGCTGGAAAGGAGCGGCCCAAGGGAGCTCCTTTTGACGATCGATTCCTTGCTTGTTGCAGGCGTGGACAAAGCGTAGATAGACGATACAAATGGTGATCCAGTTGACTAGGGTAGAGATGGAGACGAGATCCTGCAGCCAGGTGAAGACTGTGCTAGCCGAGTCGGACAGGGTCATGTATCCCAGGGCCATGAACAGCCCATAGAGGGAAACAGCGACATAGGGGATACCGAATCTGTTGATGCGCAGGAAAATGGACGGAGCTTGGCCTTGAGCTGCCATTCCGTACAGAATTCTGGAACCGCCGAGCATGTTGGAGTTACCCGCTGACCAAGCCGAAGTGAGCACGACAGCGTTGACGATGGACGGGATAGCCTTGATGCCTGCGTTTTGAGCTGCAATGACAAATGGAGACATGGAAGCGTCTCCTGTCCATGGTACCAGTTTCTTGTCGGTGGACGGGACGACCAAGCCGATCATGAATATGGTCACAACATAGAATAGACCGATGCGGATAAAGATACGTTTGGCAGCCATAGGGATAGACCGACGAGGATCCCTGGTCTCAGCCGCAGCCAGTGTGATGTTCTCTATGCCCGAGTAGGCGTAAAGAGCATTGTTCAGCGTCTTCCAGAAGCCCAGGAACCGACCAAGAGACCCAGCAATGCCGAGGTACTGAACCATGGGCCCGTATGGGCTATGCCAGTACTCGAAGCCGATGGCGTCGCCTTTGGGACCACCACCGCAGGTAATGACCAGAGCCATGATATTGACACCAACAATGAGCATGATCTTGATTATAGAGAAGCCGAACTCGAGCTCGCCGTAGACGCGCACAGCCAGCAGCGAACTAACAATCATGGGAATGCCGAGCACGGTGATCCAGATGGCGCTGTTGATGGTGACCCAGTATTCGATGATGACGGCCGCAGCGACGATCTCGGCGGGGATAGAGACCATGTATGAGTAAACTTGATTCCATCCGTTGGCAAATGCAAGAGCAGGATCGCAGAAGAGCTCGGCGTAACGAATAACTCCACCACTGAGGGGCGCCAGGGCACCCATCTCGCCAACACCGCAGACGACACTCGAAACAGCCAAGCCAATGATCAGGTATGCCAGGAAGGCACCGAGTGGACCAGCATAGGCAATGGCTCGCCCAGAGCTCAGGAACAAGCCTGTGCCAATTGTGCCCGCAAGGGCAATCATCTGGATGTGTCGTTGATGCAAGCCTTGCCTGAGCTCTTGAGACTCAATGACCGTCCCAGCTATATTCTCGACATCGCTGTCCCGCCGCATATCGGTTACAGGATCGCCGAGTTCCTTTTCCGAAGGCATAACGTCGACTTTCAGAAGTTGGGGCGAAGTGTTGTGACTTGACATCTGGCTGTTGCCAAGACGGAAAGGGGTTGAATTGGGAGTCGGGACTACTGCAGAAGCAACCAAAGCAGAGTTGAGGGAATTGAGACAACTCGAGATTGTTTCTCTGGTAGGAGAGATGGATGGATGATCTCGAGTATTTGTTTCCCCGTATTACGAAACGCTTTTATGTCTGCCACAATTGGCCACGGCTTATCAGTAGCTAGGCCCGGCAGGCTAGTACCCTAGGCAAGTCTGGGGAAGTTCTGGCTAAGGCGATAGCTGTAGATCAGACCAGGGTGGACCGGCTATGGAGATATGAGAAGCGCGATAAGATCAGATTGGCTGTCTTTGACTCTTTGGACGTGTATGGCCCTGCAATTCTCTATGCTATGCTATGGTACTCCCACCGTGGTGAGCGACATAGCGTTAGCGGCATTATCCACCGGAGCCGGAGCGACTTGTCCAGATTGGGTAATGCCGGCCCGGTAGACCCCGACTCCGGTCTATCTAGCTATATACAACCAGTCTGACAAATCCGAGCGAACGCGATAGCACAAGCCAACAAGTAAAGTTCAGCTAAACTAAAACGGTGTATGCCGTCAGATAACCTCCATACATAACATATTTGAGATACTGAACCTGATCCTGTAAGCAAACTTTCATCACATCATAGCGCAATCATGGCCATCTCAAACGGCAACACATCTCGCACCGCCGGCACGCCCAAGTGCATGCCCGCGCCGGACCCCGCGCCATGTTTCTGGCAACAAGACCTGCCACAGGATTTGACTGAGCTGCGTGACCACCGCTCTTCAGAGCAGCTCCTTGACTACAGCGACATCGTCATCATCGGCGCTGGATTCGCAGGCCTCAGCACAGCGCACCACCTCGTCCGCGATGCTGGCACAACGTCTATCTGCATCCTCGAGGCCAGGGGTATCTGCTCTGGTGCCACTGGCCGCAACGGCGGACACTGCAGGCCAGACCTCTACGGCCATATTCCCACCTACATAGATCGAGCCGGCGAGCGCGCTGGTGCTGAGATTGCCGAGTTTGAGATTGCCAACCTGCGTGCCATTAAGAAGATCATTGATGAGGAGAAGATCGACTGCGACTTCACTCTTACCAGATCTATTGATGTCTGGTGCAATGAGGAATCAGCCAAGAAAGCAGAGGCCGTCTACCAATCAATGGTCTCTCACAACTTTGAGTATATGGATGATGTTGTGTTTTATACAGGCGACAAAGTCGAAGGTGTAAGTAGCCCAAACGCCCAAATTGCTTTGTGTGCGGCACAAGGTCGTTGCTAGAGTTATATACTGACTGACTCATCTATGTAACAGATCTGTGGTGTCAAAGGCGCTGTTGCATGCGCAAGCTTTACGGCTGGGACCATGTGGCCCTTCAAATTCTTGATGCATCTCACAAGAAAACTAATCGCCGCAGGCGTCAATGTCCAGGCACATACCCCTGTCACATGCGTAACCCCAGATCCCTCGGGTGACGGTTCATTCATCGTCGAGACGCCGCGTGGCAAGATGCGAGCAGGAAAGGTGATCCACGCCAACAACGCCTATGTCTCAGCGCTTCTTCCGGAATATAGCAAAAACATTATCCCCTGTAAGGGCATCTGCTGTCGTATAACCGTCCCAGAGGGAACTACAGCGCCGTTATTGAACAACTCATACATCAACCGCACCAAGGATAACACACTATCATATTTTATCCCTCGACATGATGGTAGCATCATCGTAGGTGGTGCTTCATCCTTGTTCCGGCCATTCAAGGAACAGTGGTATGATAATGTGGACGACAGTGTGCTTATTGACTCTGCAAAGGACTACTATGAGGACTACATGCAGCAAACCTACCGTGGCTGGGAGGAAACAGGGGCCAAAGTGAGCAACATCTGGACTGGCGTCATGGGTTACTCATATGACTCAAATCCACACATCGGTAAAGTTCCCAGAAAAGATGGGCAATTCATCGTAGCTGGCTTCAATGGACACGGCATGCCTGTCATTTGGTTGGCAGCCAAGGAGCTGGCTCGGATGATATCCCAGGGCACTCAATTCGAGGAGACGAAACTGCCTCGCTTGTTCCAGACAAGCCAGTTCCGCATTGATCGGGCACAGAGCGGCAAGGAGGAGGATGGTGATATTATAGGCACTGGTAATTTTAGTACTACGAAACCATAGTACGACATCATTAATAAGGTCATAATTGTGCTCTATTAGCGTCTTTCTTGAACGTATCAATACTTGGAGATCCCAACCTGGTGTGTTTCTTAAGATAAAGTATCTGAGATAACGTCTCGGTGACGGTTGGTCGAGTCTGAGGTCACCAGAGTGGTTCCACTGTAACAGATTCTTAGGTACAAAATAGTCCGGTACTACCTACCTCCTTGGTTTATCCCTTCCATCTACTCTTTTCCAAGTTGGGTCTTGCCATAGAATATCGCACGATAATCTCGCGCGGCACTGAAAGAACAGATTAGATTAGGTATGCATAGACTCCCACCACATAAAAAGATCTGGAGCCAAGTCTAAATCAAGGAGAGCATTCCAATCACTTATTCCCTCAACCGCCACATCATTAAATGTGTATGGATAGACATCTTTCTCGATGCCGTCCATTATCTGGTTTTCAGTACCGTTACCATCCTCACCATATGTTGCTCTTGATGCTACATTGAGGCTGCCCGACGCTGCGGGAACAGCTATCTGTACCATAATGCCCAGAAATTTGGCGAATTGGACTGCCATATGCGAATCATCTGGGGAGACATTATGGACTACATTGATGACGCGGTGTAGAAGATGGATGTTTGGGTGTGCCCGACTTAGATTCTTGGTTTTTGTTAGAGTTGACTAGTGTGTTATGCTTGTTAGCGGTTTGCAGGGATTTCCTTTGTGTGAATATGCAATATACCTTGAGCAGATGAAGGCTTGCAGCAACGATGAACAGCCAACATCGAACCGGCAGATATTCAATGAGCCCCAAAGGCTTCAGAGAATCAACTACTATCGATAAAAGTGCATGGCTAGCCTGGGTTGCGTGATTCTCAAACTCAGACAAGGTTTGAAGCGTTTCTTGAGGCAGGGAGGCGGAACCAGTTTGAATGGCTTGAGCTGCTGGAGCGAAGCAGAACAAGCTTATGTAGTAAAACTCAATGACAAGACATGCGTTCAATAAAGAATTGATATCTGGGAATTGTAAGCTTGGACATAATATCTCGTTCCTGGAACCAACCATCTTGATGATAGTACTGCCGTTTCCAGCGCTGCAGAGCCCTTCGTAGTCGTTCCAAGTGAGGGACAAGATCTAAATCAGAAAAAGACCCGTCTCGGGATTTCAATGAGAGTAAGAATTCCCTTCCCTTTCGAGTCTCTATAGAGAGTTCATAATAGCCTTCCCAGAGATGGCTGTCGGGTAAAGACTCGGTGAATGTCGTTGCAAATCGGTCTTTGACTATTTGTCTCGACTTCTCAGGCAACAAGGGTTCTAGACCTAAGCGAGTCGCGAGAACTTCATCTGCGAAGTAAATGAACACACAGAGAAGGCCATTCCATTCTTTTCTGACAGAGTCCATACTGGAAGGGGCAGATCTGGAGCTGGAAGATTCGTTTTGGAAACAACAGCCTTCATGTACCAAAGCAATAGCATTGGAAAGAAGAGTCCTATCTCAGAGTCATGAGTATAATCTTTCAAGTTAAATAAGCCAACCAGGAATGCCATATACTTACCATGACATCTTGTTGCTTCGATATGCCGGAGATATAATGTTCAGCCTTTCCATTAGTGATACCATCCCATATCGTGGCTGTCCAGTAAGTGAGTCTATATTGTTGGATGAAGGCTTGAAGCCATGGCTATCGGTATGATCATTAACTTCGTCTTCTCCTTCTGTGAAGTTAGACGGGTTGTTGATGGCCTTCACATGCCAGTCAATCAGAAGTAGCATCGACGCTATTGTTCCAAGAGAACGTGTTGTCGTAGATCCCCACATGACGGACTGGAGGGATCGCTGCAGGATCCTCCACGCTTGCCAGTGTATACGCTCAGACCTTATCTCGCCATGACCTCCTGGCAGTGGAAAGTACCTCGAGGAGAGCGTCACGAGACACACTACCAAAAGAGGCTCCTCAGCAATAAGCTGACCATAAGTGGCCCGATCGCGGTAGTAAGACGGCACAACTGGCTTTAGAGGCCATAACTGGTCGAAGAAGAATCCTAGGTAGGCCATCACTTCTTGTTGCGATACAATCCTCTTTCTGATCAGGGCGAAGGTTTTCCATGCTCTGTCCTGACCGAGGGCCGTATCTGATATACCAGTCGGGGAGGTAGTAGAAGGAACTTGGCTTTCGCGGCTAGGCGTAGCAGAAGGGTTGTTGTAGGCGCGGGTGCCGCTTAGAGCGAATGTGAGAAGGTCAAGGGCATCCGATGCATTATTTATGTGTGTAGAAATGATCCTTTCTCTTGCATCGAGTGCGGCTGGCGACGTGGGACCTTGAGAACAGTCGGTGACGGGCAAGTCATTGACGTATTCCGTTTCATGGAGATGAGGAACTGGAACATCTCGAGGCGCAAGTGGTATCAAAGCTGGGATGCTGATATCGGTGCCCGTGTGACTGTGATTGGACACTGACTCAGTGTCTTCGGCAGCAAGCGACAGTGTTCGCTTGGTGCTTCGTGATGCTCTGAACTCACAGGGCTGATTGTCGGCTGAGCATCTCTGACACGGCCGCTTCCGGTCTGATGCTGGCTCGCAGCGAGTCTTGCGCCTACGACAACGTTCGCAAGACAAGTACGTGCGGCGCCGTTTAGATTCAGGAGGCGAGCTTGCCTGGTTGATAGGTACGAAATCAAGCTGCACGCTCTGCAAACCGTCGTTGCCGGTGCGATCCGTCATTTTTGGGCTATCCGAGCCTGTCACTGCAGCTTTCCGGGCTGTAACAATTTCGTGACTGACTGCCGCTGGAAAGACGAATACCTTGGGATTCGGCTAGTGGTAGACAGGGGAGGATCCTCAGCGTTCGGATGCAATTCCTGGTTCCGGCCTTTCTGAATATCCGGGGGAGGCTTGTCCCGAGTTGGTCTGATGAACCTCAACCCCGCACTGGCCTTGTGATGCTCCCTGTAGCTCACCCCAAGCTAGCCCTAATCAGGCCCGCAATTCACAGTGGAATACTTGTAGTTATTGGAGAAAAAAGACAATTGTGTTGTCGTTCATTACTCTTGCTTGCAGCCAAAAGCTTAACAATATGGGCGGCAGCCAACTATATAGTTTACTGTAGAATAATCCAATTTGTTTATGCCTTTCGCTTCCAGTAATTATATACATTTCTGCCTAGGACGAGCATAACCAGATCTATGCTGCTGTAGTTAATTAGATCTTGGATAAACCTTTCCGTTCAAAATGAACATTTCTATTATCTGTGCACCTATGTCTAACTTTCTCTGCCAGCTCTAATATGTGTTTTCCTATTTCTTAGCACTTGGGCATGATTAGGTAGGTAGAGACATTCGATTGCAACGCATTGATTTTGTTAATCTTTTCATGAGTCAAACACCTTACCCGGATTCAATAGCCAACTAAACGAGAGGCTTAGCAAGTACTCACACTGTTCCTTATGTAATGTACTTACTGGGGATCCAGGGTGTCTTTAATAGCTTTCATGATACCTATCGTGGCTGGACCAAGCTCTTTCTGTAAGCAATGCTTATGTCTGTTAGCTGGAACAAGGCAATTCGAGACAAGAACATAAGTACCTTCTTTCCCAATCCGATCCCATGCTCGCCTGATACTGTACCCTCCATCTCTAGTGCTCTCACCATCATTCCATCCACGCAATCCGACACAGCTTGGCGTTCTGGCTTATTATCCGGGTTGTACATGACGAGCTGATGAAAGTTGCCATCGCCGACATGTCCCATAACACTGTTGAAGAGTCCTAGTTGGCTGGCCTTTTGCTCTGATATTTCTGTGGTTATTGTGTCAATCCAACAACCAATGTCAGAGGCACGGCGCTACGTACCAATTAGTTCGGCCATTCGAGAGAGAGGTACGGCAACATCTGTGGACCAGAGCTGGGTGCCCTCTGGCCGGACGGCGAGGCTAGCCCACAAGGCTTGTTTTCTGGCAGACCAAAGGGATTGCATCTCATCCTCTGTTTTGGCAAATTCGAAAGAACGGCAGCTATTGGACTTGGTAATCTCTTTGGCCTGTTTTATGCTGTCTTGAACCGCGTTCTGGGAGCCTGAGAATCTACATTTTGGTGAGCATTTGGACGTAGTCACGGAAGACTAGCAGTCGCGTGCTACTTACTTGAGGAAAAGGGTAGGATGCTCATCCCATAGTCTTCCGCCTGCTCCGCCGCTCTGGTTAATGACCTTCATTTGAACATCATCCATCATTTCCAAGGCAGCGAGAGGAATTCCCCGTCGCATCATCTTGAAGGCCGCGTCCGCCGCCTCCTTAACGGTTGAGAAGGTGGCTGTTGCAACAGAGAAGTTCTCCGGAATTATAGCTAGCTTCAACGTTGCTTCAGTGATTATGCCCAGTGTCCCCTCAGACCCGGTAAAAAGAGCCGTGAGATTGTATCCAGCTGATGTCTTCCGAGGACGGTGACGGGTTTTTATAACAGATCCATCTGAGAGTACTACTGTGAGGTTGATAACATAATCCTTCATAGTTCCATATCTCATGGCATTGGTACCACTGCAGTTGGTAGCTATCATGCCACCAATCAGTGCAGTGGGGCTAGGATCAAGTGGTAGGAAGAGACCAGTATGCTTGATTTCTTCGTTCATATTAGTCCAATTGACACCGGCCTGGACCACGATATCCATATCCTCAGGATGAAACGCCACGATTTTATCCATGCCAGATAGATCTAGACATACCCCAGAATGAGGAGAGCTGAAATTTCCTTCGACGCTGGATCCAGCCCCGTATGGAGTCATCGGTACTTTATACTTGGTGCAAATACGGGCAATGCTTGAGACCTCCTCTGTCGTCTGTGGCCGCACAATTGCCACTGGTCGTACGTCAGTATTTGACGTAGACCACTCTGAATAGCCATGCTCATCGATGTCATCCAAGTCTACGCTGACGACGTCTTCACCAAGTAATCGGCGTATCTCATCGACAGCCTGGATAGTCAGCAACCCGTGTTTGGTAACATGCGGAATTTCGGAATCAGCTTACCTTGAACATAGTTGCTCTATCTGCATAGACAGCTTTTACCGGAATAAGTGACGTGTTGCTTTCCGTCCACCTGGGAGTGGTGCCCTCTGCTGGCGCTCGGAATAGATCAATGCCTACCGATGGTGCGAGAGCCATGCAACTCCCTGCAGCTCCCAGTCCCAGCAGAAAGTACCCTATTGGATAATGTCCCTGCCGGCTGGACCGTGCGCTGGAAGAAGCATATCTTGTGAAAGAAAGACGTTGATGGCCAGCGATGCATTGCCTTGACAGAGCCAATAACGATGGCCGGGATAAGCTCGATGAAAATGTCGAAATGATAGCCATCTTGAAATGTGTTTGATCGATGAAAGCGATTTACAAGCGCACGGTTGATGTTGGTAAGGAAAGCTTTCCGTAAGATAAGTACAACGGTATCTTTTCCGCGTCCTTTCTAGGGCAACGTTCAAGTGATACGACCTTCACTTCATTACTCAAGGTCGGGGAACAGTGGCCGAGGTCACTGGCAACCCGCGGTCACGGATATACCTAGAACAGACTAGTCACCTCAATATCCGACCGGCTCGGATCATGGTGGAGTCTCTGGACTGTATGGCCGGATTGGTGGGTTTATAGCGGTGTGTGGGGTAAACTTAGTGCACTACAGGGGCATGTTCAGTTGAAGTTTGATCGGATCTGGGGTAAATAATCTGGGGTTGATGCAGTCGAGGCATCCGCCATTAATTACTTAAACCCGCAACATCAGTCCCTCTTTCATTATCCTTGCTTCTTCCATACTCTTCAAGCTTCTGGAATTGTCCATTACCTATGCCACCTTCGATCGCAACCATGACACGTCAAGAACAAGAAGCAAGCTCCAAGGCCAGCGTTCACAGCAAAGCGTCTGCCATTAATCTTGAAACTGTTTCGAGTTCCGTAGTTGGAGCCAGTGTCGAGCTTGATGAAGAGACGAACAGAAAGTTGCTTCGAAAGATCGATCGGAAGCTGATGCCTGTGGCAAGTCAACTCTCCCTACTGACTGGAGCTGACACTGAGACTGACTTCAAAAGCTCTGCTTTACCTACGCCCTTCAATACTACGACAAGGCTATCCTTAGCCAGGCGGCCATCTTCGGTTTGCGAGACGATCTGAAACTCACCACTGGCATTAGGTACTCCTGGGTATCTCTTATCTTCTACTTCGGATATATCGCTGGTACTTATCCCGCCTCATTTCTCGCCCAACGATACCCGATTCGAATCGTCTGCACCACCATCTGCATTCTATGGTCTTTTGTCATACTTTGCACGCCAGCATGCACTTCCTATACCGGAATCCTGATTAATCGTTTTATGCTCGGCCTTATCGAGGCAGGTGTCTCGCCTATCTTCATGCTCGTTGTAGGCCTCTGGTACACCCACTCGGAGCAGGTCGCACGATCAAGTTGGTGGTATTCCTGCAGCGGAGGATCTCTGCTTATCTCACCCTTGATCAATTACGGACTTGGCCATATCAAGGGAGGCGCCCTCAACTCGTGGCAGTGGATGTACATCATCGCCGGGCTTGCTACTCTGGTCTGGGGTATTGCCCTCTGGTGGCTGTTCTCTGATAGCCCTCAGCATGCGAAAGGGTTTACAGAAGCCGAGCGCCATCTTCTCCTAGAGCGAGTGCGAGAAAATAATGCCGGGACTGAGGATAAGCGTTTCAAGTCCTACCAGTTCCGGGAGGCCTTGTTTGACTATCGCCTTTGGGATATTATGGTTCTATCTATCGTGTCCTGCACAGGTTCCGGCGCTGTCACCACCTTTGGAACTATTGTATTCAAGGACATGGGCTTTGACGTGTTTACTTCGCTGTTGCTTAATCTTCCCATTGGAGCCCTCGCTTTCATCTGTGTTCTCGGTTCAGGGTATATTGGGAAGAATGTTCCCAACTCCAGGTTGTATGTCGTCGTCGGAGCATCTATACCTGTCATGCTTGGTTGTTCCTTGATATGGCAACTCCCAGACTCTAACAAGGCAGGACGTATCATTGGCTTCTATCTTGTCAACTTCTTCTCCTCTGCCTGGGTTCAGTGCATTGGCTTAGGAACTTCCAATGTTGCTGGACATACCAAGAAGGCTGTGTATGCTGCTTCCACATTCTTGGGTTACTGTCTTGGAAATATTATAGGCCCGCTCATGTTTGACGCGTAAGTGGCTGACCGTTGCGAATACATCTAACCGCATTTATGCTAACTATTATAGTAAGTTTGCCCCTCGTTATGACGAATCGTTTACTGGGATCATGATCTGCTTTGCAGTCTGTGTCTTTGCTGCCCTTGCACTTCGATGGGCACTTGCTCGAGAAAACAAACATCGCGATACAGCCTATGGTTGTCCTGACCTCAGCCACGGCTTAGAGGACCTGACAGATCGGGAAAACAAGTCATTTAGATACAACCTGTAGTTTGTCTTCAGCATTGTTATATAATGATGTAACTTTCATTACGACTCCCAATTACCGATTAATCTGCTCTTTATGTGACTAAAACTTAAATCCCCACGTGCGAAATAAACTAGTGCTGTCGTACTTCTGTGTTAAAACTCGGCTGATATCTTTCCCTCAGCTGTGATACTGTTGGACCCTGTCGTTTCTCTTCCTCGCCAGGCTGGTAGAATTGTTGTATTGCCTCAATAGTCCAACCTCCTCGTCGATACTGTGAAACCTCTCCCACTCAGGATCCCCTCTCCGCTAGTGTCTCTATTATAGCAGTCAAAATCGATAAATAACTTCTTTGCACATTCTCGTCATGTGTTCTTCAGCCAGAGTTGACGGGAGGAGTATAACTCATAACAACGTTGCACCAACATCTATATGAGGTAAAGCCTTGAGAGGTCTTAGAGCTTGATAACTTTAAATATCATATTATCGTAAGCGAGATGAGACAGAGCATGGAAACAGAGGTCATTATCAAGCCACATGCCTAACTGCAGGTATTTGCATTCACTCCTGCGGTCACCCGAGCAAGAGCCCCGAGGGCGGTAAACAACAGCGCAACAAAGCGGATGGCGTCTGATCAGGACGAAAATAGGTTTCTTGTCATAGGCCTCTTCAGGCGACAAGGAAAGAAAGCATTTATTAAGCACATCATTTCAATCTTAGCATAAACTCCACTCTATCTCATTATTCTCCAAGCCTTTCTAAGCTCTTGGCCTGCTTATATTGACTACTACACTCGTAGGTCTCATCTAAGCAGACTCCTTACTTGTAAATCCTGCTTGCTTTCTCTCCAAATTCTTAGCGTCTTGAGCAGCAATAATATCCTCTCCAGTTATAGCAAACTCCACCATGCTTTCAGGGGCTGGGAAAAAGTGGTTGAGGAGATAGTAGAAGACGCCAGCAGATATGAAAGAGTAGACATAACCGATGTAGAAGCTATACACATATTTCAGTCAGCATGCATTGATATGATCAAGAGAAGGATGGAATGTAGGACTTACAGGTGTTGACCTCCTAGCGAGACACCAGTATGGCCACCGCCCGCTTGGACGATGTTATCGATGAAGCCAGGAAGAGGAGGGGTGCAGCCGATAAAGAAGGCAACCACAGCACGCCAATTGGATCCCCATTTCTGCGAGTAGCGGTAGATGCCGTGAAAATCGTACATATCTGGGACCGAGACTTTGCCGCGGCGGAGAATGTAGTAACTGGAGAAGGATTAGAGTCAGACAGCTTTACAAAAGGCAAAGGTTAAGGTGGATGTACTCTGTCATAAGGATAGAGGTCATAGGACCCAAGAAGATCGTGTAGCCGTTGAGGAAGGCGATAAACTTTTGAGCCGATGCCAAGATTTTCCACTAGAGCAAAAAGTTAGTGATTTCGCGAAACGAGCTCAGGACGTAAGAGACTGAGATGTTGTAGCAACAAAGATACAAGTTGCAGTTACCTACCGGAACAAAGGCCCAGCTACCAATTACAGCGGCGAGGATTTGGCCACGTCGGATGTTGATATACCGGGGAGCAAAAGCCATCAAATCGTTGGCGGCACTAATTGAGTTGGCGGAAATGTTGATACCAAGCGTCACGATGATCAAGCCAATGGCGGCGAAGGCGGCTGCAGCACGTCCACCGGAGGAACCGGATTTCATCCACAAGTTGATGATATCAATCGGGTTCCAGAGAACCTCGCCGTACGCAGATTGGGAAGCAGCTGCGGTGAAAATACCAAGGAGACCGACAATGGCTGATGGCACTAATTAGCAATTTGAACGGGATGCATAAAAGGCAGAATCGTACTGAAGATGAAGGGGATAACGATGGCTTGCACGTTTTGAGCGCTGGGCTTGTTGGCATATCTCGAAAAGTCGGCGATGTTGAGACCGAGCGTGGAGTAGTTACCCAAGACTCCGTTGAGATCTGAATTATTCAGTTAGTAGGGGATGAAAGAGAATGCCGGAACTGCCTCGCTCACTATTGAAGAAGGCCCATGCCAAAGTGGCACCGTGAATGGTAGTGCCCTTGGAAATCACAGTGCTGTGGCTAATTGTTCCACCGGCCTTATGCAATGTGTCACCAAAGACAGCCAGGAAGACGATCGGAGCGATGATACTCTTGAAGGCGAAGAAGTATTGAACCTGGAATTGTCAGCCTGATGTTCAGCTAACGAAGGGTGTATGAAGTAGTACCTTGGTGTATGGGATACACAAGAAGGGAAGCTGAAGGAGGAAGTAGAGCACAAATCCGCACATGCCTGCAGTGGTGATGCCCTCAGATTCTGGAATGTGATTCGGGATGTTGGCAAAGCTCGGCCAGATGGCGGTAAGTAGAACGGTCATACATTGACCTCCAGTCGTGGTTTGCACACTACAAGACATCTGTCAGTCACGAACCTTGCAGCATCAAGAGGACAAGGTGCACTTACCCGAGCCAAACAATGGCGAGGACACAGCGGGACAGCACAACAAAGTAACTGAAGTAGTAACCAAAAGGCATGCGAGAGAGAACTGGGAAGGGGGTGTGAAGCTGTGAACAAGTCAGTCAGTCAGTCGATGAGGAGCCACATGGTATCACCAAAAGACAAACTCACAATAGCTCCGATTCTGCCATTGACTGTAATCACGATGCCCATGAGAAAGTTACCAAGAACACAGGCTCCAATTGCCATTCGCCAACTCAGTCCGACAGCAATCATTGATGAGGCTACGCCACGAATCATTAGCAACTCGTGCTCTTGCAGTAGATACATAACGCAGCAAACTTACCAACTTCCCAGTTCGACACAGCCCATGCATCTGCCATCCAATAAGCCACATAGGCACCCCAATTCCAGGTTCGCTTCGAAGGTGGGATTGGGTCGAAATCTGCATTGGAGAAATTCTTCGACTTTGCAAAAGAGCTCGGTTCCTGGTCAACTTCGAGGCTGAAGTTGAATCCAAATCGTCGCCTCACCGGGCCGACTTGCCCCGGTTCGGAGTCGGAAGTGACCCCGAAGCCATTCTTAGCGTCCGAGCCGTCTGAGTACATCTTGGGGTAGGACAGGGAAAGCGAAGCGCAGCACCAAGTCAATCAACAAGACAGGAGTACACTGGAGACCAAGACCAAGACCAAGCTGTTGGAAACAAGTGCCAAGCGGTATAACGCGAAATGAATGGGGGGAGTCTGGGGATTGATATCCGAAAAGAAACACGCTGTAAAGCTTATCTCCCCAATCGATAAATCATAAGACCTATTGATAAGCCAGAAGGGATCCAGCTTAGCTTTATCGCCACCCAACTCTAATCCGGTGGCTTCCGTCCCAACCTGGCCAGTGAGATTTGGGGACGTTATCTTCTGTGATACGTTGGAGTGTGACTAAAACCAAGCGTCTTATTTGTTCTTATCTTGTCGGATATCCCAACCTCAGCTTTCTCAGCCATCAACTCAGACAGATTTGCCACAGATGAATGCCAATGCATATCGCGTGCCTGCTAACCTAATCTAGTTATGTACGTGGTCTAGACAACGCGCTATTCGAGATCTCGAACCCATGCCCCCACGACCTCCGATCCGATCTCCCGACATGGAGCCTCACGTAAGAAGTTATAATTGGTCGCTTACCCGATGGTCCGCTACGTTTCCCTTTTCGAAGGCCTCCGCCAACAATTACTGTCGAATATTACTAGAAGAAAAGTCACCCTTACTGCTCTCTTAGCGACCGCCTAGTAATTAAAACGTTTCCGATAAAAGAGGGCCAGAGCGAAAGCAGGTGCTCTGGTATTATAGCTGCCAATCAGTTCGGCTAACGGAGGGAGTGCCCCGGCGGCCGAGCCAACATTCAGCCGGCGGCCACACTATTCTTCTACAGATAGACATAAGATAAAGCCTACGTGGCGCATCTGAACCTGCATCTCAGACATAATTGATAACTACTCAGGCTAATGCATTCTGAAAGCTTTTAACAGTTATTTGACCACCCAGCTCAACAGTCGCAAAGTTAAAGATCGCGAATCGGAAGCCCGTGAACCATTGCCACCTGTTATGGAGTACAAACGTGCCGAGCTGCTTCCAATTCTCTCTGTCAAGACTATAGTTGAAATGCGCCTCCCTTACAGGAGACAAGCCGAAAGCAGGGGTCACATCAACGTCAACCCGAAGCCAGATCTCGTCCGCCTCTATTGAGGGACCCGACAATGCGATCGAGCCTCTGCTGACAGTCTGCCACTGCTGGTTCATATTAATCTCGTTGACAAACACGACTTTTGTACCATTTGTATCCTTATGCACACCGATATATGCGGATTCGTCGCGAAATATGGCTGCACCAGCACGATCACCTTGCGTGAGGCCACTAATATTGAGGTGCCAGGTCGCTACAGATCGTGGACCTGTAATGCGGTGAGTAAGAGTGTTTCGTGCATTAAACAAATCCCCAACGACAGAGGCAGTCTTGAGAGTCAACCCGCCTGACCCGAGCACAAAGTACTCCGAGTCAGGGCTGTGATTCCACTCCCACTCTGGGTGCAAGGTTGATGCCGAAAAGTCATCAAGGCGTTCGACACCGGGAACAGTCTTGTTTGTCTTTACCGGCATTCGATAGGTCACTCCCCAGCCGCCATTGACATCGAGTACAATTGATGGCCAGTCATCCTCAGACCATTTGATAGGGGCCAGAACAGAAATGCGGCCGGCGGGATACGCATCCATAAAGGCAAGATAATGCCAGTCGCCTTCGGGAGTGTCCACCATACCGCCCTGGTGAGCATAGCCGGCGTTGGAGAGTGGCCCAGAAAGGTTATTCCAGAACTCCCGGACCGCGTATGTGCCAAACGGCTCAGTTGAGCGAAGGATGTATTGGCCACTAGCGACTTTCGTAGGACAAACCCAGTAGTAGCCCCGGGTTTTGTACAAATGGGCGCCTTCAAGATACAAATCATCGCCACTATCGTAAATCGTCTCGGTCCGCACGACGCTTAGCCCATCATCGGAAA